CTTGTTGCTGCTACTCCTCCATCCAAAACAGCCCATGCGCTTGTTAGGACTGAGTTCCTGTTGATTGCCCTTCAACTCCACAGCATGAACTTGAGCCATGGGTTTCCAATCACAAAATAGACAATTGACATTGAAGAATTTGTGCCTGGAGCCTGGAATTATATTTTCTACACTGTGTCGCTACGAGTTCCAGACACTGTTTTATATCCTGGCTTTCCACGAGGCTTTCCTTGCACACCAAGCAAGAGACTCGGCATGCAAATTATGTGTCCTGGAATGTTTTGGGATGTGATGTTATTCTTGACCAGAACATATCTTGAAAGTTTCAAAGGGCAAAATTATCACGTGCAGCAAGTAAGTTCTAATTGGAATTTTAATGTGTTTGAAAAGATTAACGTCCAGTATTCAATCGAGATATCTTAAATTTCCATGCTTTTGGGAGGATCACATCCCTCACACGAAATGGACTACCAAAATTTAGAACAGATTCAGATATTCATGATGACAAATTTTGTTGTCATTACAAAAAATAAAGCCTATTATAGGAGTGGAAGTCTAGGCAAAGCAGAGAAGTGCCAATTGCATCGTTATTCTTTTTCACTGGTTCACTGCTACTTTTCATAGTCTTGCTCAAATTGCTTGCTACTTCTTTCAATTTCCATTGTCTCATTGCAACCTCTTGTTGCTCTTCCGTGTTTCCACCTTGAACTCCTGCTACCATTCCAAAATAAATGATTGTTTTGTATCTGAAAAGAGTCAAAGTCAGTAGACAACACCAAACTACATAAGAAAACCTTTGCTTTGACAATGTGTGCCAGTGCGTCTTTGAGGCAGTCAGCAGCGATTCCTCCATAAGCTCAAACAAGTCCTCCAGTTCCAAGCCTCATTCCACCAAAGCACCTGGATTTCCAATTAGCTTTTGTTCTTTCGTTTGGAAAAACGATGATAGGTACCTCGTGACAACGACCATAACTCCATCGACACCAGAATTTTCTATGGCAGCATAGATTGGCCGTCCTTCTGTTCCTCCAGGCTCCATCATCGCTAAAACGATAGCACTCTTTGATCTAAGTGGAAAGAAAATGAAACAGTCAAGCAAGGAAAGAAGAAGGTGAAATAAAATAACCACCTTGTAAGTCTAGCAATTGTGAGTTGTCCGTGAATCCAAGACCTTGCAAACAAAAGAATGAGTTAAGATCACAATTTTCTTCTTTGCAAAACTAGACCTCAGAGAGAAATGCCAATGGCTTTGTTCATCGTCCACTGTCCAGAGTGGCCATGGTGATGAACTTACTTCGTTTGATCCGGCACTGCGAAGAAACCCTGGTTAGATTAAGCTATTAAGCTTTAGATTTAAAAACTTTTAAATAATAAAACTAATATAATGTATTTCTTAGGATTTATTATATTTTATATTGAACATTTCACAGCCTTTTATTTATTCCTTTAGAACAACAAAATTCTAAAGTTCTTAAACTACATCATTTATAATTACAGATAATAAAAAATCTAAAAGGATGGGATAGTCTTAGAAATGGAATTGCATAAGATGAAAAAAAAATCCTCTCCAAAGGTTTATGTTTTTTGTTCATTTATTTTAAATTTATCTACACTTAAAAAAGACTTATAAAAAATACTAAAGTAATAAATATAAACATTTAACAGATTTTTTCACCTCCTATATACCCTAGTCAATATTGCATAAAAACATGTTGATATTTTTAAAGTTTTCTGTGTTTAAAACCAAATCAATACTATCAATTTGCATAAACTGTTGAAATTATTATTAATTTATTTTAGTAAATTAATAAATACTTCGAAATAGTGTTGTTGAAAACATTTTAAATTATTAAATATTATATTATAGCATATTCTTTAATCTAAACATATTTAGAGTATATAAACATTCCTAAACACCAAGTAAATTTCGTTTAAATAAATATATAAACTTATATTTCTAAAGTTTAAGTATGTTGGCTCGTAAATTTGTATATATACTCTTTTATCTAATATCTTGTTTGAGAAAAATATAAAATATAAAATTACTCATTATTTTTTGTTATCCTTTTGATATATAGTTATATTGTAGTGCATGTGATCATGGGATAAGATTTAAATATACTGTCACCATGAATCTTTGGAACTTTAGGGGATAAATAGGGATAAAATAACCACTAAAAACTCTTTTATTAAGCAATTGCCTTTTTTCCAATTTGTTTAAGGGGAGAAAAATAAGTGTATTATATATGGTATCTGAGTAAATAACACGGGTTCAACTCTTTTAAATTCAAATTATGTATTGAGCATAGATGTATATGTTCTTATTGTGAGACATGATTTGTTGCTTCACATAGAATAATTAATTTATATAATAGAATTGCCCTTCATCTACACCATCAATGTGAATGCATAGAATATGAAAATGGAATATAGTATATATTTACTTAGTAAATATAAATTAAAATTTAAAAATTATAACTTTAAATTTGTCATAAAATCTTGTTTAGGAATTGGATAAATAAAAATACTCATCAGTCCTCATTGACTTGTACCAAATTTTCCAAGAACTTACTTATTATAATATATAAATAATAAAAGCTATACAACTCAAAGCAATTTGTTTTTCTTAGGAATTGCAGGTAAAGATTGTAGATATCAGCCAATTCGTCCATTGACCCTGAGAGGTAACAAAAGTGGCATGTTCTTCTTCTGAAGTCTCATTTGCCCTAGACAGATTATCAGCTGGTGTGACAAACTTGGTCCAGGTTTGAGAAACTTTTTCTTTCCTTAAGTATTGCATACTTACATGTAGGTTGGACATCTTGTCAATCTTTCCATCCAAGTCCAAATCACAGTGAAAAGTGGAGTTATGGAAAATGATGTCATGCTGTTCCATCAAATCAAACACCCTATGAGCATCTTCTAGACTTTCACACTTGGCATACAAGTCCACCATCACGTTTGCCAAGTGTAAATGTTTCCTCGCTTCCAACTTGAAGCCACGAGATGCATGAGAGTGAATCGCCATGGCTCGTTCCAAGCTCTTGATCTTCACAGCCAACGACGCATCAATCTCCTCTCGCACAGCCAAACTAGAGCAAGCTTTGACAGCCGCAAGAAAACTCAAGCTATCCGTATTGATTATAGTAGCTTCCACCTGCGAGAAGAGCTCCAGAGCCAAATCTTCCTGCCAGTTTTGAGCATATCCCATAACATCGTCCAGGAAACAACGTCGGGGTTCTCAATCCCATCGAAAACTTGCCGAGAGTCTCTCATGCTTTCCACACTTGGCATAGGCATCCACAAGACAAAGTTGCCAAACGAGCGTACCGCGAGAGCATGCTATCCGAGCTCTTGGCAGGTCTGGATTGCCATGGTTCTCTCGAGAAACTTCATCCTCCCTGCGAAGAACTTCCCATTATCGTTCCCTGCTCGTTCTCTCTCGTCCAGAATCACGCAAGCCTTGAGAAGGGCCTGGAGAGCGCTGGCCGCTTGGATCTGCGAGAACAAATCCAGTGCCATCTCCGGAGCTCCATTCTGGACGTAGCCTGCGATGAGCGCAGTCCAGAAAACCACATCTCACTGCTCCATCCCCTGGAAAATCCTCTCCAAGCAGCCACATTTTGCGTACATGCTGGCGATGTAGATGTTTTTTTCCTCTCCAAACCTCTTGGAGGCGGCACGATGGATCTCCCTCCCGACCCTTTGTTCTAGCGCATACCTTGAGCGCCGCTAGCAGCGAGTGTATGGACTCTGATCGCACGGAGCTCCATTCCACTAAATGTTATCATTTAAACATGATACCTTCAAAAATAAAAGTGCTTAAATGAAGATTCCACCTTTACAAACAAGCCCTAAGAGCTCATTCGAGATGGTTAAGCGAGAGTGCGAATATAACTTAGAGAGTGATGTGCATAAAAAACTTAGGCAAGGGATGGAATACCACTCGGTCTTGGATGAAAAGCTTTGTGAGGAATACCCAGCGCTGGTAGAGAAATATAGACTAGAGAAGTCGATTGGGGGTGGAGGGCAAGCGACGGTGTACAAGGCATTCCGAAGGAGTGATGGGAAGCTGTTTGCGATCAAGACAGTCCATGGGCCCGATGGGCTGTTTGAAGCTCGAGTGATGGCTATGCTAGAGGTGTCACTCAAGGGTTTGGATGAGCAGGGGCTCGTCCACTTCGAGCACATCATACGAGAAGAGCCCAATCAGTACGGGGAGGTGTACCACCTTGTTCTTGAGCTGTGCAATTGCAGCCTTCAAGACCGGATCAAGTACAAGGGGCAGCTTGATGAGGAAGAATCTGCAAAGATCGTCATAGCTCTCGCCAAGATGCTAAAGAGGGTTCATGACAACGAGATCATCCACTGCGATGTGAAGCCCGCGAATGTTTTGCTGAAGTACCCGCGACCTGGGAAGTTCTATGTCCCAAAGGTGTCCGACTTTGGGATGGCTTGCTGGATGGAGGATCCGTGGAACGAGCGTGGGGTTGGGACGTGGGATTATATGTCCCCCGAAACAATGCTCGATGGGCGCTATATCACAGCCAGCGATGTGTGGGGCTTAGGGATGCTGCTTTACACTTGTCTCACGGCAACTTGCCCGTTCCCAAATATGGATTTGGAGGTGGTATTCAAGAATGCACGCAAGAGAGATCGAAGTACAAGGAATTTCCATCACAATTCCATGGATTGGGATGGCATTCCATCCTATTCTGCAAGGCAGCTTATCCAAGGCATGACGGAATTGGATCCCGGAAGGAGGTTTACTCTGGAAAAGGTCCTCGACCATGAGTGGATAAAGAAATATTTAAAAACATAATGTTGCTATTATATAAAGGACCATGTAAATCTTATATAATGCAAAGCTAATTAAAAAGAAATTAAGAAGATTGCTCTACTTAAGCTAAACAATATCTTTTATCTTTGTTAATAATAGTTATAATTATTTCTTGATAGACATGTAAACATTCTCAATGTAACTGAGAAAAAAAAAAACCTTTAGTAATAATTCTACTTATGTGTAAATCTAGATTTGTTGAAAGTTACTCTTTTTTCTACTTTAACAACCATATGGATATTGCTGTACTACAACAGTGAGGAACTAGAAAGAGAAAAAAAAGAAAGCTGTACAGCAAAGTTGTCTATACGCTCAAACTCACGAAACTCAGGACGTGGGAGCCTCCTCCGCCCATGCCTGACTGTTCCTCCGCAGTGGCGCTTGCTCCGTCGCAGCGCCGGGCTCGGGAGGACTGCCCAGCACTTTCGTCAAAACGCCTCCCTCGGTGGTGGAGGCCGTGGTCACCGTGGGAGCGCTCAGCGCACCCGTAAGCGACTCTTTCCTCCGCTCCGCCGAAGGCCGTCTCGCCAGATCCGAGAGCCGCCGAGGAGGCCCCGCGGGCACGCCTTGCGCATCGATCCCGGCCGTGTCATAAAACTTTTTTGGAGCGGGAGGGGCTCCCGTGGTGGCGCTGGGAGGCCGGTTGAACATAATTCCCTTGATGGATCCTGCTCACGAGAAGAAAGAAAAAACCAAAGACGCTCAGGCCCAGAGAGAAGAGCGAATGGTCACTCAACTTACTTCCACTGCGCGTGAGGAGCTTTTGTTTCCTGTGCTTCTTTCGCCGCCAGAAGATGAGGTACTCGCTGAATGGCCTGTCGGGGATGGGTATTAGCTTGACAAGGGCTGCCAGCGGCAAACTGCAGCAAGCAACGCAAAAGTCTCACGAAGGGAGTCCTTGGCTTCCCGGAGATACTCACCTTATGGCACCTAGAATAATGCACAAAATCCAATGGTTCCACTCGAGGTGAACTGTGCTAACTATAGTTCCACCGTACTCAACGAGCAGCGCCTGTTGAAAGAAGAGGCATGAGTAAAGGCAATGGAGGAAAAGGAGACAAACCTGAACGATGGCTGTAAACAAAATGACACCCATGAACAAACGATTGCTTGTAAAACCCTTGAAAACGTTAAGTTTTTCAGGATTCCTAGCGTTCATCTCGTTAAAAACCTGCGAAACCTGTGTCAGAAACAACACGAAAAGGGATGGAAAATAGCCTCTTACCTGGCAAAAAACGAAGGCGTTAAAAATGATACAAACCAATTTCTCGTGAGCTACACCCTCGGGCTTAGCATGCGCACTGCGTGGTGGAGGCGGTGGTGCATTCTATCAGAAAAAATTAAAAAACGTTAATTACGGAGTAAAAAGTATGTGGTGACCAGAAATTACAGGATCGTCCTTCAGGTTGAGTATTTCAATCCCCTTGAACTTCAAAACTAAGAGCAAACCTAGCTGATAAATGCTCTGGAAGTAAAGTCAAGTCAGAGAAAGATTTGCAGGAAAAGCATATAACCATACCTGACCTAGAAGATTGCGCCACATGATATTGTTAATCAGCGGTGCTCTAAGAAAAACATCGAAGATCAGCGAAAACAATTTTCTGTTCCAAAAATGGTATCATACTCTTTTGAAATCGGAGGCCTATACATGACTGCGTCATTAGGAGGTTCAGTTGCCAATGCAAGAGCCCCTAATGTGTCCATGATCAGGTTCACCCATAGCAGCTGGAATAAAGCTTTGGTAAGTACAGACAATGAGGCATTTCTAGCATCTCACTCACTTGAACGGCTGTCAAAGGAGCTGCACCCTCGGACAGCGCCGATATGAAGTTTAGCATCAAGGCCACAGCATTGACAGTGCACTGGAACTGCACGAATTTTTGAATATTCGCATAAACAGCGCGCCCCCATCTCACGACCTGTTCAAACGAGGGCCGACTTCAGTTAGAACGAAGGGAAGTCTTACAATCTTTACCTTCACTATCGATGCAAAATCGTCGTCCATAATAATAATGTCCGAGCTTTCTTTTGCAACTTCTGTACCAGCAATTCCCATTGAAAGCCCAATGGATGCCTAGTGGCAAATGCCTGTTAGCTCAAACAAACAAACATGTGAGTGTCCCAAGCAGAGTACCTCATGAAGAGCAGGAGCATCATTGGTTCCATCCCCTGTCACTGCTACAATCTCCCCCATTTCCAGTAATCTCTTGACCATAGTATGCTTATCTGTTGGAGATGACCGTGCCATGACCTGGTGAAATTCTGGATTTTGTCAACTGAACGTTGAGCACAACAACTTACTTGTATCGCCGGAAGAATTTCGTATTGTTCGTCTGGCGACATGTTTCTAAAATCCTTGCCCTCAATCGCAGTTCCGTTTGTCAAAATTCCGCACTCTACAGCGATGGCTTTGGCAGTTGTTATGTTGTCTCCAGTTACCATCCTGACCTGTAATATGGTTTTTTCCTAAGCCGGGAATGCATGCACAACCATACCTTAATGCCAGCAATTTGACACTTGTGAACAGCTTCAGGAACACCAGGTCTGCATGGATCCTTGATTCCAACGATAGCTATACAAGTCAGGCCATCTTCTGGGATTGGAGGTCCAATAGTCGAATGCTTCTTAGGAGGCCGTGCAAGAAACTCATTCTGAGGAAACTCCTTACACGCCAGACACAACGTTCGCAAGGCGGCATTTGCAAAGGTGTCGATAATTTCTTGCAGCTCTTGCAACTGGAGAAATAAGATCAGCACAGGGGCATTGGAAACAACACCATTACAAACCTTTTCAGGCGTCAAAGGGCTGACATTCCCTTGCTCATCCATGAAGTTTGAACATTGAGCCAATACAACTTCTGAAGCACCTTTCCAATGAATCCATGCTTTTCCATCTTCTGTCTGCAAAGAAACTATTGAGACTGCAATTTTTTTTATTCTACGCAACTAACCTTCGCAATCACCGCCATGCGCTTTTTGGTTGAATTGAACGCATCAACTTCTGTTACTGTTGCGCTTTTCTTTACTCGATCGAAATTCGCACCGAGCTGTTAACAAAGCAGTTAAGAAAGGTAAGTCGGAGAGTAGATTATGCACCTTTACACCCCATCCAAGAACAGCCACTTCCGTAGGGGTCCCAGTTATTTCTGGAGGAGCGCCCTACAAAAGAAAATCAGTAACTAAGTGAGAGAGCAGGAATATTGACAATAAACATACCTCATGCGTTTCAACGCTTGCATTCGTATTTAAGCAAATAGCTTCAAACAAAAGCTGCCAGAAAGAAGTAAAAACTGAAAGATCTACAAACCAGAGTTGCCATACCTTACGCACACCTTCACTGATATTCTCAAGATCAGTTGGCTCCCTTAATTTGCCACACACCCATGATCTGATGACAGTCATCTGTAGAAAACAAAGCCAAAATCCATATAGGAAACCTTGAAAACAAACCATATTCATTGTCAATGTGCCAGTTTTGTCACTACAGATAGCAGTTGCAGAGCCCATAGTTTCGCAAGCTGACAAATGTCGGACCTAGAATCAAAAGAAAAATTCTAAATCGATCACAAAAAGTGCATGAATTCATTACCAGTGCACGGTCGGTCATCATCTTCTTCATAGAATAAGCAAGCCTGAAAAATAAATGTAAGAAATAAAAGCAACATGGAATTGTTAGCTCACGTCAAGGTGACTGCAAGCGGAAGACCTTCGGGGACAGCTACGACCACAATCGTCACCTGTAAAAGTCGATAACTATGAAAACGTCCTATGAAAAACATTAGCCATTTTATACCTTGATAATCTGTATTATGCATTTCAATAAAACTTACTGCAACAGCAAAGTATTCAACTATTTGTCGACCATCCTCCGAGCTGAAGTGTTTCAAATTTGTCTGGCATAGAAATCTGCACGCTACTCGGTGAGAAACGATCGGAAACACTCGAAAAACGGATCTTACCGTATCACGCAAACAATAAAACACACAACCGCAACGGATAAGCCCACTTTCCCGATTATTGTTGCTAAATTGTTCAGTCGGACTTGAAGGGGAGTTTCCTCGTCATTGTCTTCACTGAGTGTGGCCATAACTCTTCCCCATTCAGTTCGCATTCCAACGGCAGTGACCTGTGATTGGTAAAATGATTATGACGGAAATATGATAGCTCAAGGTACACACCAGCATTGTCCCAAAACCGTCAAGCACTTTGGTGCCTGACATTAAAAATGGTTTTTCCTCTTCATCTTTTGGAAGCTGGTAGACGAGAATCAGATGGAAAGAGTGAAATTTTAGCTCGAAGAGCAATACTAACAGGGTCACTTTCGCCAGTCATGCTTGATTCGTCAACAATCAAAGAATGCCCAACATATACGAGTCCATCGGCTGGAATCTGCAAGCGAGCAAAAAATACTACAGCAGCACAAAGTAAGCTTGCACGAACCTGGTCACCGATTGCAAGATGAACCATGTCACCAACTACAAGCTCAAAAATCGACACTTTAGTCCTGTGACCACCCCTTGTCACCTACACAAGGCGCACGGCAAATTTCAGCAACATGACGAGCCCCCAGTCACTCACTCACATTTATATAAATCTTCCTTTTCTCGGCACTGAGCTTTTGAAACTGGTTGGCTTGATTATAATCACTTAAAGCTGCAGTGACAGAAATCTTCTTTAAGATTTAAGTACACAACAGAACCAAAAATAAAAACTCACAAGCTACCATGACGCAAACAACAATAGCAAAACAAATGCCTCCACCGTCATACCACCCTTCGCTGGGTTTCTACATCCAAAAAATAAAAACTGAATCAGAACCTTTAGATTTCTTTAGTTTGTTTCAAGACTTGCCTCGGTTGTCAGCCCAACAGCCAAGGACACTATGGCGCACAAAATCAATATCATCAGCGTTTCATCTTGCAAAGCTTCCCAAACATACATCTGGAATGGAACAAGCTCTAGAAAAACGAAGGAGAGAACAAGCTTACATAAAATGGCGTTCTTTTCTTGAGCGGGTATGTGTTTGGACCGAAAGCATCTCTCCTGGCTTTGATATCCACCGGGGTGGCATCAATGCCCTTTTGCGGATCGATCTTCAGTGCGCGCGCAATGCCATCAAAACCATCGTATGCCTCCAACTCCTCCGTGTTGCCCTCCCATTTGGCAATCTCCGCAGGCGTGATGCCAAAACCGGCTGTTCTCGCAGTGATGGGAGGAGGAGCTGAGCACCAAAAACACCAAAGAGACTTAGATGAGAATGGCCAGAAAGAAAGCCACTTACGCTCATCGTCGGGCCCGATAAACTCCGAAGGTCGGGGCAACTTGAGCGCAGCTCTTTCTCGCACGTTTTGCGCAGAATCATGATCGAAAAGCATTTTGCGAGCATCAGCTCAGCTCAGCGCGATCTTTCTCCTCATGCTTCCCTTCCCCGCGCGAGAAAACCCTAAGCCTCCTCCAAAACCCTAAAATGCGGCAGCGTCCCGGCCCCTAGCATCCCACCATAGCCTGCTCTCGATCGGCAATGCTGCTGGAGCGCTCGGCGATGTGGATCCCGAAATTTCACCACCGGATCACTGGCGCCACGGGAATCCCAGCCGACGGCAGCTCTGCGCCATCGATCGGAGAATCCGCGCTTCTCCCTCCCTGTCTTGCCCTAAATTCTAGAAAACCTAGCTGCGAGGGAAGAGTAGAAAGGAGCAAAGTGAGGATGATATGGCGGATGATGCAAAGGCGCGCGCAAGCACCTGTTGGCGGTTAAGTTCCCCACCACGAGAAAATCAGATTGAGGGCTGACGTGGCAGCTCAGTCTCCAGCGACGGCCGCGATCGTGCCACGTGTAGACCGCGTTTTTAATCTACTTTTATTCGGTCAAGAGGAATATAGTGTGATTTAGGGTTCTTCGCATTCGCAGCGCGTTGTGCGAGCTGCGATTCCATTCCACTCCGGCTGCTGATAGATTCGAGGCGCGCGCGATGAGCAACGATGCGGCGAGCAGCTCCGCTGGCGCCTCCGCCAAGCCATCACGCAAGCCGAAATGTAAGGGGATTTCTTCTCGTTGCTGGAGTTCTTAGATCGGGATTTTCGGGTTTTGTAGATTCTAAGTTTACACAGCAAGAGCTTCCCGCTTGCAAGCCTCTCTTGACCCCTGGCTGGGTATGTGTTGTCCTGGATCGATCGATTTTGGTTTGATGGTTTCTCTCGCGCAGGTAATCGCCATTTTGATGCTCGTCGGCGCCATTTTTATTCCCATTGGAGCCATTGCGTTGCTTGCGTCCAACAGCGTCGTGGAGATCGTCGAGCAGTACGAAACCTCTTGTCTTCCTGCTAATATCACAACTAAGGAGGCAAGGATACGATATATCCAGGACGATACTACTGAAAAATCCTGTCCGATGACACTCACTGTGAGTTCTTCCAGTCGTTGACAAGTTCTTTGTTAAAGCTGCGTTTTCCAGGTTCCAAAGAAGATGAACAACCCCGTCTATGTGTACTATCAGCTCGATCACTACTATCAAAACCACCGAAGGTATCGTTTCAAACTTTTTTTTCTTCTTCTTTGATGATCCAATCCAATTGCTCGTTCCAGGTATGTGAAGAGTAGAAGTGACAAGCAGCTCTTGGATGGAGCTAGCACCTCCAACAGCGATCTGGATAGCTGCAAGCCGCTAAAGCAGTTTAACAACACGCCTATCATCCCGTGTGGCCTCATCGCGTGGAGTCTTTTCAACGACACTTACTTATTCAGCCGCCAGAACAGTGCGCCAATCCCCGTCAACAAGCGCGGCATCTCCTGGAAGAGTGACCGTGATCACAAGTTTGGGAGCACGGTATTTCCCTCCAACTTTCCCAACAATCTAAACAGGAACGAGAGCAGCAGCGCGTTCATCGGAGGAGCTGCACTAAACGTCTCACAGCCAGTGAGTGAATACTTTGACAAGCTTTTAGCTTTGAAGGCACCTCTAAGCCCTCGTTGTTTATTTTGTGCGTTTCTTTTCTCACCAGTTAAGCGAGGCCGAGGACTTGATCGTGTGGATGAGATCCGCGGCGTTACCAACGTTTCGAAAGCTGTGGGGAAAAATCGAGACAGATCTCCAGGCCGGAGAGATTATAAGCGTAAACATTACGAACGTTTATAACACTTACGAGTTTGGCGGCAAGAAGAAGCTCGTCCTCTCTACGGCAAGCTGGCTCGGTGGCAAGAACAACTTCTTGGGGATTGCTTATCTCACAGTCGGTGTTCTCTGCATCTTTCTCGCGATCGTCTTCTTCCTCATTCACTACAAGACTCCCAGGTAAGCATCCAAACTTCAAAGTTTCTTACTTGAAAGTTTTTTCCTCCTGCTAACGCCATACCTTTCAGGCCTCTTGGAGATACCTCCTACTTGTCCTGGAACAGGAAAGGTAACGTTAATGGCCTCTCATAGAGAACGAGCTTTTTGTTTCTTTGGAATGCCTTATTATATCTTCCATGCTGTAAATCGACCTTGTATTGAAGAGAAACAAAGAATGGTTATCGCAAAATAAGCGAAGTTCTGAGAAGGAATTTTACTCTTTTTCCTTGGCCAAACCAATTGCGAGTGCTTCGTCAATGCCAACGATCTTCTCCCGCGGCTTGCCTTTGACAGCGCCTTTCTCCATCTCGGTCTCGTTCAATCTCTCCCAGCCTTCAAACGTTATGTAGCGCTTGTTTTTCTCGCTTAGAATGGATTCCAGCCCAACGCTTCCGGGAACTTCCTTTAGGTTGCTCACTACTGCTCTGTTCACGTCCTCTTCAATGCTCGTCACCTGGAATGTAGTTCATAAGCTTCCCATGAGAGAAATTAACTTTCATACCACTTCCTGTGCGCAAACTTCGTTCGTTCCAATGATTCCAGTCGGGCCACGCTTGAGCCATCCCGCCACGTACAGCCCACGCTCAGTCTCATTCGTAGCATCGCTTGAGCGCACGCGTCCGAAGTAATTCGGCACCACGCCTGCGAAAGTTACAGACCAGTCGCTTTAAAAGTGGTAAACAAAAAAACGCTTTTCTAACCTTTCTTATGGTCGAAAGGCAAATCAGGCACAGGTAGAGACTTGTATCCAATGCTTTTCAGCACCAGCCTGACGAATTTTAAGTGATCAGTATGGAACTTAAAGGTAACAGGCATACCCGCAATCCAGCTCCTCGAACTCTCCAGTTCCTACAAGCTTTCGCGGATGGCTTCCTGCTAGAAAAGTTTTAAGCATGCGTCTGGAAACATTGCAGCTACTTGCCTTCTAGACGTGTTTTCTGGAGATGAACTCCTCTAACATGGATGCCATCTTCGGCAGCCAACAATGATACCGGTGCTCTGAAGAACACAAATTGCAGCTGCTTATCTCTTCCAGCGCACTTGGTAAATGTCGCGCTTTTGCAAAACAGATCGAAAACACGCTTGTGTATTCTACTACTTTGCAGCTCTTCCTTCAGACATGATGTGTCAGAAAAAACGGAAAGAAAGAGTAAGTTCACGTACCAAGTCGCAATCGGTTGTTTGCAAGTCAGCCTCGTTGATGACGATTTCCACACCTTTCAACCCTGTGGAAGATTTCAGCCGTCATACATATCAGAAGTCTATAAAACCAACCAAGAATTTCTCTCAGCTCCTTGGCCGTGCAAGCTGCCTGCACTGGACCACGCCTACCAACAACGTATACTTTTCTAAGCGTTCCTGCCAAACAGTTCTAATCACCGAAGCCAAAGAAAAAGGGATGAAAGAAACCTGATGCGGCTCGTTCGCAGTGCCTTCACGGCATGCTCGGCAATGTCTGTGCTTGACAGTTCGCTGGGAGAACGAAGTAAGATTCGTGCAACGTCAAGGGCTACGTTTCCCTGGACACGATCAGGCATTCTCTTTAGAAAGCAAAACAAAAGAAAACTTGAAGATCAAAACCTGGCCAAGGACCACAGCAGTTTCCACATCGTTCAGATTGATCGGCAAGTCCTTCCCATCTGGGTGTCCATTATACCACCAGACAAATTGTCTTGCAGAAAAAACTCCTTCCAAGTCCTGTTCCAACGTTAAATTAAAACGAGAAAAAAAAGGAAAGAAAGAACACAAACCTCTCCAGGAATTCCGAGCCTGTGATCGCTCTCAGCTCCATATGCAAGAACTACTACATGATAGTTTTTTCGAAGTTCTTCCAGAGAAACATCCGTTCCCAGGCACACATTACCGAAAAATCGGCATCTTTCGTCCTCTGCCGTGCGGGAAAACTGATTGATCACAACCTGTGGTTCCACGCCACACAAAGCTGAGAACAACACAAACTCGAGACAAGTCTCTTTACCTTTGTTTCCGGATGGTCTGGAGCAACCCCCGATCGCACTAGACCAAACGGCGCTGGCAAGCGCTCCAATATATCCACCCTCGCGAAATCAAAACGCTTGAGAAGCTGCGAAAATGCCGAGCGATTGTCGCTTTCTTGCGCAAACCTTGAGAACCGATCAAACCTTTTTCGCGACATAGAATCCCGCCGGACCGCTCCCCACGACGCAAACGTGCAGAGGCATTCCAAAATCGTCGCTACCAGTGCACAGATCGCGTGATCGGCCAGGGAACCGGAGGCCAAGACGCGACGCTCGTCGCGCCATAGCCAAAACCTTCATTAAACCCTAAAATAAAGAACAATGGAGAGGGATTTTCTAGACGATCTCGTGTTCTTCTCTGGCGCTGGATTTCTCACTGGAGCGTTTGTCGGCGGCGCTACGGCTGTGATGGATTGCTTGCGGTTCGGCGACGCCAGCGACACTCTCAAGCTCCGGATCAATCAAATTCTCAACATGGCCGGGCACAGGGGACGCAAGGCCGGCGCTTCTCTGGGCACTGTAGGGTTCGTCTATGCCTCTCTCCACAATGGCTTGGTTTGCGCGCGGGGAAGGGACGATCCGGCCAGCTTCATCGCCGCGACCGCTGGAACAGGCGCCATTTTCAGATCCGCCGCTGGAATCCGCCCCGCGAGCGTCGCTGGAGCCTCTGGTGGATTGATCGCTGCCGCGATTCTTGTCGGCCGGGAGTTCCTGATAAACCCTAAATCTTGACAATTTTTAGGGTTTATAGCATAAACCCTAGTTTTTCTTCCATGGAGGTCAATGGCAATGCGGGCGAGGAGGACGGCTATGGCGCCGCGCGCTTGTTCAATCAGGGATTCTCCTACACCTACGACGACATCATCTGCCTGCCGCGCTACATCGATTTCCCGGCCGACGCCGTCGATCTCTCGTCGCAGCTCACGCGAAATATCCGAGTCGCGGCGCCCTGCCTCTCCTCCCCGATGGACACCGTCACGGAATCCTCCATGGCGGTGGCGATGGCGCGCGCCGGCGGCATCGGCTTCATCCATTACAACAGCTCGCCAGCGGAGCAAGCATCCCTGGTGAGAGCCGCCAAGAGCGCGAGCTTAGAGGTAGGATCCACGCCATCTCTGGGAAAAGATGGGCGTGTTTTGGTCGGCGCTGCCATAGGGACGAGGGAAGCCGACAAGGAGAGGCTCAAGCTCCTCGTGGAAGCCGGGGTGGACGTGGTTATCCTGGATAGCTCGCAGGGGGACTCGATCTATCAGAGGGAGATGCTTGGCTACGCGAAAAAATGGTTCCCGGAGGTGGACGTGATCGCTGGCAATGTGGTGACGATGCAGCAAGCCCGGAATCTGATCGAGGCCGGTGCCGACGCTCTCAGAGTTGGAATGGGATCGGGTTCTATATGCACAACTCAAGAAGTTTGTGCTGTTGGAAGAGGACAGGTAGTTTTTTCTAGCTTTGTCTCGTGTAGAGATTGATCTTGGTTTCTCTAGGCAACAGCGGTGTATAAGACCTCGTCCATCGCTCGAAAGTTTGGAATTCCTGTGATAGCTGACGGAGGGATTTCCAACTCCGGACATATTGTCAAGGCTCTCACTCTCGGCGCTTCGACCGTGATGATGGGAAGCTTTCTCGCTGGAACCGAAGAAGCTCCCGGCGACTACTTCGACAGGGTAAAGCATTTTCTTCTCCCGTCTTTTAAGTTTAAGTTTTCCCTCGAAACTGTTCTTCCAGGATGGACAGCGTCTCAAAGTTTACCGAGGAATGGGATCTCTGGAAGCCATGGCTAAAGGGAGCGATGCTCGCTACCTCGGTGAGAAAGCCAAGATGAAGATCGCGCAAGGTGTCTCGGGGACTGTCGCGGACAAGGGCTCCGTCTTGCGGCTGATTCCATACACTATGCAAGCCGTGAAGCAAGGATTCCAAGACCTGGGAGTTAAGTCCGTGAAAGAAGCACACAAGGCTTTATACGACGGACACATAAGGCTAGAGGTACTTAACAAACAAAATTCGATTTTTCGATACTAAACCATTGCTTCTCATCAACCAGGTTCGATCAGGAGCTGCCCAAGTCGAGGGCGGTGTTCACGGCCTCGTTTCTTATGAGAAGAAACGCTTCTAGTGCTGTTAGCTGCTTAATCGTTTCCTTGGATGCTAAGCATCGTTTGGAGTTCTTTTATCCTTTGCAGGCCATCGCTGATGAGGTAGCGGATTGCTGCTGGGTCTGTCACTGCGCGATTCTTCTCCATCTCCGCTCGAATGGTGTTCTTGAGCTCATCTAAAGGAAGAACCAAAAAAAAAAGGATCGATTGGAAGCTTTTAAGCGATGGTAAGTACCTCGAGAAGAGCTTGGTGCCCGTTTTGTCAATCTCAGGCCACTCCTATACACGGCTATGGCGCGGGACCGAAGAATGAACGCTCTAAAGTCGAGTGACCCCATTTTAAAGGGTTCTTGGGGGATATTCTGTCCAAAGAGCTATTTGGTAGCAGAATATTCTTAGGTTTGGATATTCTGTCCAAACCCGAATATTGCTTCCTGCTTGCCAGGTCAAATCCTCTTAGAAGTTGCCAAGACCACTGTCTTTATCACAATTCTAATCTAATGCAAATCGCTCGAGTGTTACTGTCAACATTAGAAACTAGACGAAGTATACTATCTATACGTTTGATCCTAATTTCGATGAGATTGACAAAGAGAAGATGTGGGGCGTGATCCATTTGCAGCTGTGGTAGTTAAAAGCTTCACGTGTACACAATGCCGGGATCCATCCCAGGAAACCATTAAACATTTGGAGATCATGAGCACTCCTCAGTCACACCAGGAAATGTTTGATCTTGGTCCATGCCAGCTCCAGCTATGATCGATCCCACTTTTATGTGTGTTGCACGACGATGCCACCACCATAAATTTCCCCGAAAACTTGGTCGTGATGAGCTCCCATTGCTCCCTCAAAACAAATCCAACGTCTTCAAAGACTTTGGTCCCCAAGGAGAGAGTAAACAATGTATCCTTGAAACGCGAACCATCCGTACGCTACGTTTCGCGTGAGCCCTAATTCATACGGAAGGAATCTCCAAAAAAGAAAAGAAAAGAAAGGTACGGACAGAAAGGCCTCCAAAACAAACCACCCCACTCCACTTCCACAACTCAGTGGCTGTACGGCGGGGGGCGTGGACCACGGTGGAATCCCGGGGGTTTTGACATCCGACAGGGGGTATTTGACTTTGGGCGCGCTTTCCGCGTGGCAACGCCTGGAGCGCGTTGACATTGAGTGCGCGCGGCCTTTACCGTACTCCCGTACGGCGGCCGACAATTATGAATCATGGCCATCATGATGCCCATGATGACATCATCCGCATGGGTATAAGCATCAAGCATGCATGGTGAGAGATGCCAGGGAATCTCGGATGGCTATCTATGGCACATGCATGGCCCCCATGGCCCGAACGTGCGCACATTTAATGCACCAAGTCAGACCTTCTCCATATTTTACCTAACCGTCCGCCATTTTGTTTTCACGGGGAGTTACCAACGGGTATATACTTTCGCGGTAAAGGTAAGTTCATACTTCTAAAGAAAGTAACGCCGGACATAAAAGGCCCGCGAATCGATGGTTCATTGTCTCTTGAAACTGTGCGGTAGGATTATCATCTTTTGATCTTGTAAATAGATCTTGTCCATGTCACAAAGAAGACGCAACTATCAAAACATAGTTAGATCAATATAGATCGTTTGGGTCATCTAATTTGGATGAAACTTCTTGGGTAGAGAAAATGTGCTCCATCGTGCTTGGTCTTGCTCATGTGGATCATTCAATGACAATTCTAAATTCCAAAACAAACGAACGTGGTCTAGCCAAAAGCTGACCGCAAATTAGGGTTTCACACGCAACTGAGATGACACCACCCATACATCATCATCATACACATACATGTAGGCATACGGCATAATCTACAGGAACCATGGTCCTACTACTCTTGTTTTCCATGTATTTATTTGAATGGAAGCCCAGTTCTCATCTCTTCTTTTCCTCCTGGAGATGAACACCTGTTGATGGATAGAATTCACAACTTGGGCTGATAAAAAGGCCCTTGTTGAGCTTGAATTCTCTTGGAAAAACTAGGAAAATTACCTTCTCTTCGGCAAAAAGGAGAGAATTTTTGGGAAATCAGATCAAATGCTGGGCAACACAGTTCACACACTTAGGTATTCACAGCTTTCTCAATCTCTCTCACACCCACACAAACACACTTAGTTTCACTGCTTTCTTCTCACACAACCAACGCACACAAGTAGCCACCATGATATACTTGCAGTACTTTGTGTGTGTGTGTGTAAATCCTCCTCTTTCCATGAGCTAGTTTGACAAAAGTGGGGGTTCCAAAAGAGTCAGGATCATCAGCGGGGCTAACGGAGCTCCGGGAAGAAAAAAGAGTGAAGAATTTGGAAGAAAGATGTGAAGCTTTTTTGGGTCGCAATAGTCTTGCTTGATCAGTGAAAGATCTGATCGCCGGCTTGTTTGCTGCCGGATCTCTCTCTCTCTCTCTCTCTCTCTCTCTCTCTCTCTCTCGATTTTTTCGTCGGAGGAGCGGGACTCTTGGGCTCCCACTTTTCCATCGAGCGATTTGATCGTCTCGATCGGGAGTGTCTCAATCCATCCTTTCTCTACCTTTTATTCTTTCGCGATATTCCACACCAGGAATCTAAACTTTCTTCCTTGCTGCCAGTGCTGGAAGAGATCATGGACACGACTATTAAGTCGGCTGGGCTGTGAGGTTTTTTCTTTCTATCTCTCCTGCTGGAATGCTTGCCTCGTTGTCTCTTGGGTGCCAATATGGATTCTTCCGCTAGAGGCGCGGCATTGCTTCTCGCGAGCTACTGCTACTACGCAAGAACAGCTCCACGGTAACAAGTCTTTACTTTTTTCACCAGGTTTCCACCGCCAAGGTGGGATTTTGAGCAGTGATCCGGCGACCCATTGCCGAAATCTCCCGACCAATCTACCAGTTAAACGGGGAAAAAAAGAGAGAGCGAAAAAGTCGCGGTGTTCTTCCGTGAAGAAAGTTTCTTCTTGCTGTTCTTCTTGGAGTTCTTCCAGTCCTTTTTTTTAGCTTTTTTTTCCTCGCTCCCTCCTTTCCTATGATCTTCTGGTTCAGTTCTTAGAGCGAGCTCTCTCCTCATGTGTCAAACTGTTTCCGGGGTTTTGCAAGTTGTGGAGACGCGGAGTAGAATGCAGCAGCAGCACGATGGGGATTTAGGAGCCATTGTTCGCAGCGCCGGGATTTGCAGCAACGCCACCATCGCCGACTCGCCTTCCAGATCTTGCTCCTCGTCGTCGCAGCAGAATTTGCCAGCCATTGGCGCGGAGAGATTGAATAGTTCGTCATCGTCTCCTCCACCACCACCAGTGGCAGCAGTAGGATCGACAGCAAGTTTTCCAGAGGCTAGGATGGGAGCTGGAGGATTCCTGGAGCTCATCAGCGGGAATTTGGTCCCGGCAGCCGATTTGAGCGATTTCCACCACCACCACCACCACCCGGCTCCCTCGAGCTTGTTCCATGGCGGTGGTGGCGGTGGTGGTGGCGGTAGCGCTTCCACCAGCGGCGGCCTCGTCAAGCGCGAGCCTTTGGAGGTGCCAGATTTCGATACCATCTTCTCGAACAGCCGCTCGCTCACCTTCCTGGACGATCTCAAGGCCGACTTCCAGCGGTCGTCTGCGTGCTCGTCGCCAGCGGGGGCGGTGAAGAACGAGTTTGGGAGCTTGGATTTGACGGACGTGAATGTGCCGGCGTCGAGCTTCGACTGCGCGTCGCCGGCCAGCCCGACCATGGCTCCCTCGGCGGGCAAGGATTCATCGCTCGCCACTGCCGACAACAGTAACAGCAACGCAGCTAGCAACAACAGCACTAGCAATTCTTCCAAGCATCAGGGATCCAAGCGCAGGTAAGCGACAACTTTGCATAGATTTCCTTGTCGGTGAGTTTGAGATCTTTTCCTTTCTTGTTGCCTTGTTCTTAACTTCGATGATCGTATGCTTGTGAGATCCGAGAGTTTTGTCAGTTCTTCTTGGGTGATTGATCTCTGATGGCTGGTTCTTGTCTGTGGCAGCCGGAAAATGCAGCAAAAGCGGATCGTGTGCGTTCCCGTGGCTGGCGGCGGCAAGCCGACCGGAGAAGTTCTTCCCTCAGATATGTGGGCGTGGAGAAAGTACGGGCAGAAACCCATCAAAGGATCTCCGTATCCCAGGTATGTGATCATCCTCTCCTCTTCTCTCCCACTTTTTTTCCTGCGAGCTCCTCAAAGATCTTCATATCCATATCTATCTATCAACTGCATGGCATCGTGGGTCTGTCAGAATTTCCCTGCCCCCCATCCCCGCGCGCATTGGGTCTCGTGGGTCTCGCTCGGATTTCGCAATGCTCACGCTGGTTTCTCGTGCTTTTGCTTCCAGGGGATACTACAGATGCAGTAGCTCCAAAGGCTGCTCCGCGAGAAAGCAAGTCGAGCGGAGCCGCAACGACCCGACAATGCTGATCATCACCTACACCTCCGAGCACAACCATCCCTGGCCGGCCCATCGAAACTCCCTGGCTGGAACAACGAGGATCCGTCCCATGGCAGCAGCAGCAGCAGCAGCAGCAGCCGCCGCCGCCGCCGCCGCAGCAACGGCAGCCGCGGCGTCAGGATCAACCACAGCTTCCTCGCCAACTCGGCAGCAAGATTCAAACAATCAGCCACAGCAGGAGAGTCGACCCGGTTCGTCGTCCATGCAGGAGATGCAACAAGCCCATCAAACGGACCCTGCAGCAAATGCCGCGACCGGGCATCTGGAGAACCCGTTCGTTTCCATCGTCAACTTGCCGGATCCAATGCAGGTTGATCACCACCACCCGCAGCAGCAGCCGCACCACCAGCAGCAGCGCCAAGTTCCCAGCCGAGCGCTCCTCCACCACCAGCACCTCCTGGCGGACATCGGATTCGACACAAACACGTCCCGGTCGAGCTCCCAGGACGAGGATTTCTTCTCCGAGCTGGAGGAGCTGCCGGAGCTGTCGTCCATTCTGGAGAAGGGATTCCTCGAGTACAAATCGGATGACGAAGGTGGTGGTGGTGGTGGCGGTGGCGGAGGTGGCGATGGCGGCGGCGGCGGTCCTGGGAACAGTGATCCTTCTCCTGGTGGTCCAAAGAGCAGCGTGGATCCTTTCAACTTGTTTAGCTGGTCGTCTGGATCGAATCAAAACCATCGAGGACAGCAACAGCAGCAGCAGCATCACCATCATCAATGAGATATCGTCGCGCGTCGCGCAGCTCACAGCCGCCGCCGCCGCCGAATCGAATGAATCGATCGCACACGATTTAGATGAACAGCTCTTCCAGAGAATCGAGTGTTCTATTTTGTAAAAAGAGCGAACTTGCCCGGAACAAAGGAAGGAAAAAACATAGAGAGAGAGAGAGAGAGAGAGAGAATGATGTTGTCTTCTACCATTCCATTCTTCCCCCCATTGTTGCTTTCACACACACACACACACACAGCAATCCTTTACAGAATGATTCAAGCCATAGCTTTTCCAGAACTGGAGATTCTGAAGTTAAAGAATGAACATTAAACCAAATAGTTCTTCCAAGTTCATCGCCAGGAATTTGGTTTGATTTGTTTGATCTGGCTGCGTACGGCCGCAACTTGGCATCATCGGTACGGAGACTCTTTGTTTTTGGTGCTTGCTGGTCCAGCTCCATTGCAATGATGAGTTGAGTGACACTCACAGTGGAACCCAAGCACTGTTGTTTAGTCTTTATTAACGTGTTCTTTGCTTAGCTCTCTCTTTCACTGGGAAGATCTGGAAGACAAGGAAAGCAAAAAAAAACTAGCACCGTAAGAAGCGCTTGGAAGTTTCCATACCTCGCAGTCTCGCTCGACTTGGTCCTCCCTCAATTCTGGTCATCAAGGAAGTAAAAACACAAAGGAATCGAAAGCGAAAGTGCGAGAGAGAGAGAGAGAGAGAAACCAAAGCTCTCACCTTCACACTCACTAGTAAGCAATCAAGCCAACATTGGCCTCGAAAGAAAGAAAAAAGAAAAGAAAAGAAAAGAGTAGTGAAAAACACGGGCACCACGTACGCAAAGAAAACTGCTCGTCTGTTTGCAAGCGGGGTGCCGCCTGTAGAGCATGTCCCCAATAAAACTCTTTAAAAAAAACACAAGAGAGAGAGAGAGAGAGAGAGAACTGGGTCGTGAAAACGAAAGAGTCGAAAGCAAAGCGAAACACAAACAGGCCTTGTGAGCTGTAGCGAAGTCTTGTTGCGTTGCTCGTAGTTTTTGTAGTAGTGTAGTAGCACAGCAGCAGCAGCAGCAGCAGCAGCAGCAGTAGAAAACGAAAACGGCCACGTGCAATAATGCCCCCCCGCAAAGTCAAAACGCTGCCCGCGTGGTCCCCAGATTCTGCGCCGTTGTCAGCGTATGACTTCCAAACATAACAGCGGCAAGCACCAAAAAAGTCAGCCCCAACTTGCATCAGCAAATAAAAAGAAAGGAGCGGAAAACGAGTAGAAAACTCACTCACTCTCAATCCTTTTCCCGCTTGTCCAGTTTAATCGTTTCATCGGCGCGAAACAAAACACCACCACCTCCGTCTGCTGCTGCTGCTGCTGTTGCCGCTCCCATTCGAGACTTACGAACACTGACCGATTTTTTCTGCTCCATCCTGCAAGGTCACGTTCTCGGGATTAGCAAACCCGTGGACGAAGCAAGAAAAACAAAGTTGGAAAAGCGTTCCCCCCAGTGCCAGAGATCCTGCTCCGATTGACGTACCGATCTCGTTCTCTGGCGGTTGCTTTCGGTTTTCATGGGTTGATCGATCTGCCTTCCCTACCACTTCAGTTGCAGAAGAGTTTTATAACTGAGTCTGCTCCGGCCGTGAAAAGCCACGGCTGCGTTGGATGGAACTTGATGTCCGATACACCTGGAGATGTGGCGGGGTAAGACTGGAGCATGCTGCTTCCTGAGGGGGATCTCTCACCTTTCTGGTGGCCGTGGAGGATCTTCAATGGAACGATCAAGGGGTTCTGCATGAGATCGGAGTATACCATGCCGTGGAAGACATGCGTTGACAAATCGTCTGAGCATGATGCAAACAGCGGGTATGACTTGTGAAAAGCTACCGCATTGATGTCTTCCTTATGATTCCTAATGTGGAATTTTGTCAGAAATCTGTAAGAGATAACCCAACTACCTTACTTGATGGTTTTGTAAGGTTTCACTGAGAGGTCCATGTCGAACCAGCACAGCTTTGCACCCTTGCTTCCGAGAATTAAATTGTCCCCTGCCAGTGACAGACTTCAAAGCCTGCAAGATTACTCTTTCAAAGCCTACCTCCCGAGTGTAAAGCCATCGACGAAATTTCCTGAAGACCAGTGATCAGCTTCTTCGACAGCTCCTGCTTCGCAAGGTTGTATACACGGACATGCATTTTCGTTGCCACAAACATAAACGGCCTTGCTGGATGGAAAAGCACATCAGCAACACGGCCATGATGCTTGCGGAAAGGGTTTTGACTTTGCTGCTTTGATAGTTGATGTACCAAAACAGCTCTGTTGTTGCGTTTGCTAGCGTTAAGTTCAACAGAAAAGAAAGAAAATAAATAAATAAAAGTAAAAAGGATATCATCTGGAGAAACTGAGACAAAATAATCGCCTTTATTGTGCCATGAAACCCGCACAACGTTCTGTTAAAGAAATAAAATAGTTAATTCATAAACATCAATCAAAATATCAGAACCTGCTGATGAGACAGTTGGATGCCGCGAAGCTTGTCGTGCCTTTTCCAGCCGATCAATGGAGTATTTTCTACTCAGAAGAATAATGAGAAGAGAATAAAACAGTTAAAAAGAAGGGCTCACCCGTAGGTTCCGAAGTACTCGGCTGGACAGCTAACAGCTTGGCAATATTCAATTGGACTTCTTCATCTCCAACTTCTGGATCAAGTAACACCACGTCGTTGCTCCTAAAAGAAAGATAATCAGGACAAAACGAATACGAATGTAAGATGAACTATTGAACTTACACTGCGATCGCGACAACAGGTAACGCTGGATTCGGGTTCCAGGCAACACAAAACACGCTGCCACCCATGTCCCAAACCTTTTTACACCTTCCGGTTTGCACCTCCCAGACTCTAACAGTTCCATCCCGCGATCCTGACATAGAGCTCTGATCGAAACACTTCCATCATCAAAAAACACAAACCTGATAATAGCCACTCTCCAGTAGGATCCGCACTGATGGACGAAACGGCACCCGTATGCCCTTTGTATTCTAGAAAGCACGTTGTTGGATAAGGCTGCAAATCTTTTGGTTTGGGAAGTTTTGGAAGAAGGGAATCCGGATCGATATTCAACTGCAAGGAAAGTATTACAGGCTGACGAATGAAAATATGCACTTTACCCGTTTTTTGCGTGTTCGGGGGCACAGATATAAATCCAAGCAACGCTCAAATATTTCCTTGATAAACTCAGCATAAGCAGGAACATGACGAAGACTATCGAACCTGTAATAAAAAATCCACGATTGACAACATTAGCAATAAAAAAGAGTGCTTACTTCTTTGGAATAAATTTTGGTCGATCCTCTTCATACATAAGCTGATAAGAATTAATTTCCTCTTCAGATGGGATATACTCGACTGGGGGATTGTATGACTCTTCGTGACCTGAAAATACAAAGCATCAACAACCGCTACAACATCATGTGACGAGCACCTGGAAGCTTGGCCTTTGGTGCTGGGATGTAGGCAAGACCGTTGGCTGTTTTCTCGTTAACTTTCAGGTCATCTCCCCACATTAAATAAAATCGAGGTTTCTCTTTCGGTTTGTCCAATTTAATCCATCCTTTTCTCAAAGCACGAACGAGTTTGACAACCTGCAACGGAAACGAGTGACCATAAAGAACCAAGCTGGGCATACCTTTTTAGCTTCCCATTTGGAGGGAATAAAGCGACGTTTAGGCTCAGGAGCATTTGACAATGGATGGCCTTTTCCGTCCCAGTCGAACCAATCCACATAAGGCTGAGAGACAAAATCGTGAAGACGTGAGCGAGTAATCCATTTGTACCTGATATGCATCAACTTCCGCGTGTGGTAGCTTCCCCTGGCGAATTCTCGAGATCATACCCATCTCTTCTTTCGTAAGTTCGACATATTCATCGTTATACTCGTCATAGACTTTATGCCTGTGAAAGAAAAACCATGAACTAAGACCTCACCCGAGCTAAACGTTTACCTTACCAGTCCTTTGGATCATCACTACGATCGAGAAAAGAATCCAGTTGATCCTTCCGTGCTTGCTTCTTCAGCTTGCGGCCAGCTCTATCGTAGCCAATGTGTTCCTCGTCTTTGTAAAACTCTAAGGGAATTTCTCCGACAGTGTTCCGTGGAGGAGCCTGTGGTAAACTAAAAATGAAAGGATCCAATTTTTTTTAAGAGACTGACCTCGTCTTCGGAAGAATCGCTCTCGTCGGCGGCTTCGCGATCATCAGATTCTTCATCACCGTCAGCTCCAGCATTGCCGTTTCCAATGTAATCCAGTAGCGCCTCGCGAATTTCCTCGTGATTCGCCGAGTCGTTGGCCTCCACATTCCCATCCGCAGCCCCGTCCTCCTCATCGGAATCTTCATCCTCTTCATCTTCATCGTCAAAATCTCCCTCTTCTTCATCCAAATCTGCCTCTTCCTCACCAGAATCTGCCTCTTCCTCCTCAAAATCACTGGAATACGCTCCATCGTCTTGATCATCGCCCGAGAGAACCTGGAGCGCATCGTCGTCGGACGCTGCCATTGCGGGAAGAACACGCCCAAACCCTAGCTAGGGTTTTACAATTAACCCTTTACAATTATTAACCCTAATAACCAGGATTTTTAAAATTACATACTGGTTAGCGCTTGTCTTTAAAAATCGTCCTTTTGAAATACTCGAGCTCTTTGATGCTCTCCCTGATATCATCCAGCGCTCGGTGGCTCTTTGCTTTCTTTGGAGCCCTTTCGGCGTCTAGAAGAGTTTGGCAAAAAAAAAAACAAAAGGAAAAACAACAGAGATTTCTGGTAGAAAAAAAGTAAAAAGGTTTTTTTTTTTTTCTTATCACGCACGAACCTCGAGGGTACCAGCGTTTGCACAGCGATTTGATCGAGCTCACGTCGACGATTACGTGGGAGAGATGCGCTGCTAGCGTCGGCATGTACTTCTAGACGAAGAAGAAAAATGGAAGCCTTGTTAAGATCATCTGGAAGTTTTGGGATTGATTCACTCACTCGGAGGAAGTTTAGATCGTTGTAGACCGAATTCCCGGCGAGCTGTGCGTAGCCAGCGATCGTGTACTTCTGGACGAACTTGAGAACCTGGATGACAGACAATGATCTTCAGGGAATCGCAGAAAAAACTTTGGTTGGTTTTTACCAGCATTTCAGCGTGTGCCTCGGTTACTTTGCTATTTTGCACCCTTTCAGTAAGTCCTGGAAGAGAGAAAAAACTAAGAGATTTCATAGAGAGAAAGATAAGAGATTTCATAGAAGCCGAAGAACACTACCACTAGCTGCATGGTGTGTTTGACACCACTCTCCCATGCCTTTCAAAATCTCGTCGGATTGATGGATCACCAAATTCGGTCCCTGGAAGAACCGTTTTTATTTTTTTCAAGCACTGATCACGACGACGAATTCGCAAAAGAAGTTACCTCAATGCTCTTTGTTAGCTTGCCATCAGTGATGATACACGCAATCTCCAAAATCCTATCCTTGCAAACATCCAATCCTACAAAGAGAGACTGCCAAATCGATCGCTTCTAGCCTCTTACCAGTCATTTCGAGATCAATCCACACAAGAGGCCGGCTCACGAACTCCCCGGCGATTGTAGCGAGCGAGGAGCCATTCTTTCTCCCCGCATCGCCGAGCGGGAGAGGAATTCGAGAGCTGCTACTGCCGCCGCCGCCACCGCCGAGCTGACCGAGATCGTCCTCATCGTCAATGAGAGTGAGCGCGGAGAAGAGATTCTCCGTCATGGGTTCCCACGCATTGACAATGTAGCCCTATTTAGGGTTTTAGGTGTTTATTCGGATATTCCGTGCTAGGGCAAAACTCCAATGGAGCGCAGCAAGCGAAGCGAGAAGGAGAAGAGCAGCAGTAGGTCGCGGCGAGAGCGCGATAGGTCTAGGGATGGCGACGCCGCCGATCATCGCGAGGAGAGCGGTAGAAGGGAGAAGAAAGAGCGAGATCACGATCGGAATAAGGAGAATTCGAAGGATAAGGAGAAGGAGAGGGATCGGGAGAGGGATAGGGATGATCGGCGCAGGGACAGGGATGCCGCCGAGGCGGGGGAGCACAAATCCAGAAGGGATAAGGAGAAAGAGAGGGAGAAGGGGGAGGATTTCGACGGCGATGAGCAGGAGAAAGAGGTAGCGGCGACGAAGGAGATTGAGGAATGGGTGAGGAAGTCGAGAAAGATCGAAAAGATTGAGAAGGTCAGGGCCAAGAAGGCAGTGCCGGCAATTCGATCGATCGCTCAACAGGTAGAGACGAAATTTCGAGCACTAGTTTTATTGGTTTTCTTTTATTGCAGGATGAAGAGGTCGTGGATGAAGAAGATGACGAGGAGAGTGCGTATAAATCAAGTAAGTGCTTCCTTTTCCTCGCATTTGTTTAACGTGCTTGTTTTCTTCCTCCTGTTCTTCAGAGGATCTAGCAGGAATGAAGATTCGACATGGACTGGAGAAGATAATAGAAGGTGGTGAGGTAGTTCTTACTCTGAAAGACAGCAACATCCTCGCTGAAGGAGATATAAACGAAGGTACGTTGTTCTCGTAGAGTCCATGATGTTTACATGGCAATTTCAGATGCTGATGAATTGGAGAATGTGAATCTCACTGAGCAGACTGTGCGGAGCAATGCATATCGTGATGCCAAGAAAAAAAAGGGGACTTACGAAGACAAGTAAGAAGTTAAGCAACATGGGCATGGAATAACATTTCTTTTGCAGGTTTCAAAACGACATCAATACTGTGAAATCGCTGTTACCTCAATATGACGATGCTCCAAAGGACGAGGTACTTAATCCTTTTGCTTTATCTGCCATATATGAACTTGGATCTGTGTAGGGAATCCAACTTGACGATTTGGGTGGAGTCAATGAGGAGAGCCAGAAGCGTTTGGAGGAGGTAACCCTCTCCTGTTTTCTTACACCACTGAAGTTCACTGATGTTTTCGATGTCAGGTCCGACTAAAGTTGCAAGGCGCAGCGCTGAAAATGCAATCGTTGCTGGGACCAGAAAACCAGGCATCTGATTTCTATACCAAGGAAGAGATGATGAAGTTTAAGAAGCCGAGAAAACAAAAGAAATTGAGGAAAAAAGACATGCTGGACGTCGATGCGCTTGAAGCCGAAGCAAAAGCTGCCGGTTTAGGTGCTGATGATCTCGGTTCAAGAGCAAATAATTCGAAGCCCAAACAAGAAGCTGAGGCGGAGGAAGAAGACGAGTTGTACAGTCGTTTGCAGAAGTCGCGTGAATTGGCCATTAGGCAGCGCATACAGTCTACGCTCGGGCCTCAAGGAATAGCTGCTCGTTTGAAACTGGAGGCTGCCGACGAAGAACAATCAATGGATGTGGATAGTAAGACTTCAGTGGCCGAGAAAACCGTCGTTATCACGGAGACGGAGGAGTTCTGCTTGAGCCTACAACCTGATGAAGGTAATCATCCTGTTCATCATCCTCTTCCTTGCTGCTAACTATTGTATGGTTTCCAGTTATCAGTCGAAGAGCTGCAACGAATGATGCCTTCGGAGATGATGAGGTGGATGGACAATCTGCGATGGAAATCCATCAAGAAGATGGGCGAACTGACACAAAGGTGAACGACGTCGTCGAAAATGAAGACGATGATGTCTTCGACGAATTGCCAATCAAAGAAGTATCCGTCGGGAAAGGATTAGCGGGTGCCTTGAGTCTCCTCAAAGAAAGGGGGAGCCTGAAGGAATCAGTGGAATGGGGTGGCAGAAACATGGACAAGAAGGCGAGCAAACTTGTCGGTGTTTTGGACGATGACAAAACCTATGAAAGGGATATCCAGTTAGATCGGCGAGACGAGTATGGCCGAACGGTACGTATGTGACTGTTACGTAATTTCCGACCCTCATCTCTGTGTCTTGCCCTGTGCAGTTGACTCCCAAAGAAGCCTTTCGCCTAGTCTCGCACAAATTTCATGGAAAAAATCCTGGAAAGAGAAAGCAAGAAAAGAAGATGAAGCAGCACGAGGAGGAGCTAAAGCAGAAGCAGATGGCAGCCGGTGACACGCCTCTGAGGTCTATGGAGAAAATGCGTGAAGTACAAATGAAGACGAGCACCCCCTACATTGTTATGAGCGGGCACATAAAGCCGGGGTATGTATTTTCTTTGTTTGTTCTTCCCGGGGATCCAGTGTTTCAATTTGCTAATTACAGGCAAACGAGTGATCCAAGGAGTGGTTTTGCAACCGTAGAGAAGGAACCGATTGGCAGCCTTACACCAATGCTTGGTGACAAAAAGGTGAGATAGAAACCTTTTGTGATTTTTAAGTGACTCACGTTCGCGTCTCGCAGGTGGAACATTTCCTGGGAATAAAACGCCCGGCCGGTGACATGGGGCCTCCGCTTTCAAAGAAAAAGGCCAGGACGTAGATCACATCTGGTTAGTTTCGTACAGGCTCTTCAGAAATGAAAGAAGTCTTGAAGGTGTGTCTTTTTACTATAAATCTACCTCGATGTGACGAATTTTTTGTTAAGTTTAGGATGGTATGTCCTTGAGACATTCTCCTTTACATTCCAGATGAGCTTGTATCATTTTGCTGATCTTCTCTCCGTGAGGAGAGGGAGGCATCCCCGCGCCACTCTCGGCCGTGTCATTTGCTGGTTTATCATTTCCATCAAGATGTTGAGAGATAAGCTCGTGTCGACTTTGTTGCAGGCCTCGGGAGGAGGCAGTGGTGGATCCGAGACTTCGGCCGAGCCTTCGAGCATCTTTACGACGTCAACCATTGCAGGCCGCTGCCTGGGATCCGGCTGAATGCACCACACTCCGATGCGAAGCAGCTTCTCGACTTGGACCTTTCTTGAGGTATCGTCCATTTCTTGCTGCAGCTTTTTATCTAACATCTGCACCATTTTCCCCGTTCGAAGGTTGTTAACGATCCATGTGGCCAGGAACCTTGGGCTTGTCCCGCAAGACACACAGGTATGAAGAGCTTGCAGTCCTGTAGCTACCTCCAAAACAACGATCCCAAAGCTGTAAACGTCGAGCTTGTCGCTTACTCTCAGCTGCAACCATTCTGGAGCCATGTATCCGGGTGTTCCTCTCACCATTGTCATGACGTTGCTCATTTCCCCTTTTTCTACCATTCTGGACAGTCCGAAGTCTGCTATCTTCACGCCAAAGTTCTCGTCAAGCAGTATGTTTTGAGGCTTGATGTCCAAGTGAAGCACTCTAGTGGTGCATTCGTCGTGGAGATAGGAGATCCCTTTAGCAATGTCGACAATGATTGCAAACCTTGTGTCCCAGCCTAGCTTTTCCTGCGAGTAGATCCATTTGTCTAGCGACCCGTTTGCAACGTACTCATAAACCAGGAAGTAGCACGCCGAGTGAGAGCAGAAGCCTTTGAGTTGTACCAGGTTTTTGTGATTTATGCTTCCAATAACTCTGACTTCCGCCTTGAACTGCTTGTGACCCTGGTTTGAATTCTCGATGCGCTTGACAGCAACCTTGAATCCATCCTGAAGTACTCCTTCGTATACTACACCGAATCCTCCGCTTCCAATTTTGTTACTAAAACCTTTGGTGGCTGTGTATAGCTCCGAGTACGTGAAATCACGCAGGCCGTCCTCAGCAGATCCAGATGGAAACGACTGCCCGTAGTGCTTGAGGTACGAGTTTATCTGTTTCTTCCAGATGACGATTGCGACGATAATTATCCCGATCGTTGTCGCAGAGAGTACCACCACAATCACTGGCTTGGCCCTTTTATGCGTAGACAAGTATTGAGGAAAGCTGCGCGAGAACGGAAGTTTAGCATGATGCACCTTAAGAGACAGTGACAACGCTGGACTGGCTGGGTTGTGCGTTCTGTTTAGAGCAAAGACTTCGCTCATCTGGAAACAGGTACTCGTTTTCTCGTCGATCAATACCGCCTTACACGTACAGTTGTTGATGCACAGGGCCCTGCACTTTACTGGAGTAACGTTGTGGATGGTGTATAAGTACCCAAAAGGTGCGTGATCGTTGTAGTAGTAGTTTCTGGCTTCTACCATCTCGTGTTGTGAGAAATCATATTTGCCACATTCTTGAGGCTGCTCATCAAACTTGCATATTTTTTTGTCCCCAGATATGCTGGCTCGCATGGAGCTGTTCTCCTCCTCGAGCTCTAGACAGTCGCATTGATCTTCCCTGGGAAGCCAAGCAGGTCCACACGACGGAGGCAAGGTTTTTGCCGTGAACAGGGCGTTCAGACTGGTGGTGTTGCTGGTGTTACTGCTGTATGACTGGGAGGTAAATCGGAGCCCTCCATCCGGATACAGCTTGAGCAACTGGTAGCCGGAAAGGTCAGTCACTGGGCTAAACGTCACTGTGCTAAACGTTGGAGTGTAATAGTCGACAGGATCGTAACCTTTGCGAATCTGCAGGTTGCTGTTGGAGAGGACGACAGTAGATATATCTTTACTGTCAGAGCTCCAAAGCTCTCCATATGCCGGGAGCGTGGAGTACAAAACTACCGAGGAGAGTTTTACCTCAAGAGAGAAGTATCCTGGTTCCTTGTTCTCGTTCGTCTTTGTTGCCACTAACTTCATCCCTGGTTTTAGGATCTGGCCAGGGAGCAACGCGTCGGTGGGATGATCAAAGCTCTGCCACAGCAAAGAACCACTGTCCGTCTGGATGACGAGATTTCCAGAGCTCTCGAGGGTCATCATCTGCGCTCCAGCGTTTGCTGTCCCCGTCGACCACACAAAGCTGCCATCAAAGTCGCGCAGCACCAAGTCGCCATCGATCGTGAAGTTGAGATAGGCACCGAGACGAACAGGCCTTGGAGTAGCTCTCCACACCACTGTCGCGCCTTGGGACTGGCTATCAGGTGAGTCGATCGGCATGGAGATGGACAAGTAATAGAGTGGATCGTTCTTGCAGGAGACGAGAACGCAAGGTGTGCTAAACCCGAGCGTCATGGGCTTCGCGAGAAAGCCGATCGGACCCTTGATAACTATGTTGGAGAGGTAGCCGATCCTCCAGATCGTGTTGGGCATCGCATAGACATCGTGTGGAGTGGCACGAAGTAAAGAGAACGAGAGGAGCAAGACGATGAAGATGAAGAGAAAAGGCTGCATTAGGTGCTTGAAGACAACGAGCAAGCCTGGGAAAGAGGTGATTGCAAGGGATGGGTTGTAAGGTAGCGTGAAATCGATCGGCTCTAGCGCATCGTGGTCTCAGGAGGACAAGAATGGTTTCGTTCTTCTCGAGGCTGTAACGTTGTCCCCGAGAGTCTGACCGCGAGAGTATAAGCCCTAAAGGGCGCCAAAAGCATTTTTAAAGTGCCCTAAATTTTGCCAAGCCACATACACAGTTTAGATTTTACTATAATTTCATAAAGTTTGAAGAATGCTGTCATTTCTCTGTAAAAATCACCTGACGTCTCAGGACCTTAGCCCTCAAAATTTATGGAAAATATTATAAGAGTTATAACTCTACGTGGATTAATAAAATGGCATCTATAGACCTCTTATGACATGAGAGCATATATCTCCAATAGTTGCGTTGAAGGGAGATCAACCAAGTGGAAGAATGGACAACCTAGCCTTTGCATCTGCCACTTACCAAGGAGATGACACGCCTAGAGAGGTACTCATCTGCGCCAAAAAAGCCCCATAATATTACTCCTGGATGAGAACTTTCGAGTGGAGATCTTCGACTTTGGGCTCTCGTGGCAAGGCGAGCTTCAAGCTGTGGACAAGATGATCATCCAGGATACATGGCTCCGGAGTGGCTCCAGTTCCAGATGAGCGACCAGCTTGACACCTACAGCTTTGGAGTGGTGGTGCTCGAGATGGTCACTGGCATGCCCGCTTGCTCTCCTTGCGGATCGAAGCTCCTGGCTGCAGTAGTAGATCATGGACAAGAGGATGAGCTTTTCTTCGCAGCAAAACCAGGACCTGTGTTTCGAGAAGATGGAAAAGCTGCTTGGAATTGGATTGTGGTGTGTCCGGAGTGATCCCGCCCAGAGACCATCGATGGGATATCTCTCGAAAATGCTGGAGGGATCGCTAGAAACAGTGGACGCTCCTCCAATCCTTCCCAAATCTCGCGCCGTCGGGAAGGAGGAGGCCATCGACGTGAGATCGTGAGGCCATCGACGTGAGATCGTGTTCTTTGAGTGAGTTCATGTAGATCAACGGTTGTAGTTCAAATAAGAAAGCGCGCCATATGATCGACGGTTAGGATTCTTTCTTTGAGATGGTTGTTACTGATCTAGGGTTTTAGTCGCCTGTGGTAGAGCGCCCGGATCGGCCATCGCTCGTGGAAGAGGCGCGATCGCATCGCGAGGTGAATGATCTATGCCTGGATCTCTACAGACGAGGAATGCATCCTCTCGCCTCCTTCGGCTTCCTCGCGCCCTGGTTTATCATATCCATGAGGATGTTTAGCGGCAAGCTCGTGTCTGATGTTCCTTTCTTGCAGGCCTGGTCCGGCGGTGGCACTGGCGGATCCATCACTGGCGTCGCTCCTTCCAGCATTTTCACCACTTCCACCATGCGAGGCCGCTGCCTTGGATCCGGCTGGATGCACCACATTCCAATCTTGAGCAGCCGCTCGGCCTGGCTCCTTCTCGAGGTACTCTCGTAGATTTCCTTTCGTAGCTTTGCATCCACCATCTCCACCATCTCTCCCGCTCGTAGCTTCATGTATCCCCATGCCGCTAGAAACCTTGGGCTAGTCTCGCAAGAGACGCAAGTGTGGAGCGCTTGCAGCCCCGTTGCTACCTCCAGAGCAACGATTCCAAAGCTGTAGACGTCCAGTTTGTCGCTCACTCTCAGCTGGAGCCACTCCGGGGCCATGTATCCGGGTGTTCCTCGGATCATGGTCATGACGGTGCTCATCTCTCCCTGTTCCACCATCCTCGAGAGTCCAAAGTCTGCGATCTTCACCCCAAAGCTCTCGTCCAGGAGGATGTTTTGCGGCTTGATGTCCAAGTGGAGGACTTTGGTGCTGCACTCCTCGTGGAGATAGGCCAGGCCTCTCGCGATGTCTTCCACTACCCGGAACCTTGTGTCCCAGTCCAGTGCTGCTGCTGCTGCCTTTGCTTTGAAAATCCATCTGTCTAGCGATCCATTCGCGATGTATTCGTAGACCAGGAAGTAGCAGGGTCTCTGAGAGCAAAAGCCTTTGAGTCGTACCAGGTTCTTGTGGTGGATGCTCCCTATGACTTTCACTTCCACTTTGAATTGCCTGCGTCCTTGGTTTGAGTTTTCTAGACGCTTAACCGCGACTCTTGATCCGTCCGGAAGAACCCCCTCGTACACCGAGCCGAATCCTCCGCTTCCTATTTTCTTACTGAAACCTTTTGTTGCTTCGTGCAGCTCCGGATACGTGAAAACCCGAGGCACTTCTACAGCACCAGAAGGGAATGACTGGCGGAATTCATCCAGGTACGAGTGGAGTATCCTTCTCCAGATCACGACCGCAAAAGTAACGATTATAATGGCTGGTAGAACGACTGCCGCCACGACGATCACTGGCCTGATTCTCCTACTTGGAGCCTTTCGAAAGCCATTAAAAGTTCCGAGAGCCACTTTGGAATGAGAGTGCGATTTGAAGGCCACCATAAAGCTCGAGTTGGCTGCGTTCGGTGTTCTGTAGAGCGTATCTATGTCTGCCATTTGGAAACAGGTACTCGTGTCTCCGTGACTCAATGACGCCTTACATGTACAGTTGTTGATGCACAGGGTCTTGCAAGCCTCTCGAGTGATGTTGTGGATTCCACCGCTCGAAAGATTCGCTGGTGCGTAGTAGTAGAAGTCTTTGGCTTCCAGCATCTGGTATTCTGATGGATCATATTCTAAGCCACCACTGCATTCTGCAGGTTCTTTGTCGATCTTACATCTTCCCTTGTCGCCGGAGGAAACATACTGCATGGAGTTGTTTCCATTCTTCAACTCTGGACAGGAGCACCCGGTGTTTTTGGGAAGCCAGTTTGTACCACACGTCGGAGGCAAGCTTTTCTCCTTGAAACTTGGATTGAGAATAATCATTTCCTTCGTCCTTGATTGTCCAGTGAGAAGACGAAGCTCCCCCTTGGGATAAATCTTAAGCAGCTGGAACCCTGTGGCATCCGTGACTGGACTAAACGCTTGGGAGGACCAAAGAACTGTGCCGTTTTGGCCGTAAATCTTTAGGCTGCTTGCGGAGAGAAGGACGTGGGATATCTCGACCTTGCTGGATCCGGAGCTCCAAAGCTCTCCATACACGGGACTAGCCGAGTACAAGACTACCGAGAACCGATCGACCTCGAGGGAGAAGTATCCTTCCTGCGTGTTCTCGCTTGAGACACTCGCGACTAATTTCATTCCTGGTTTCAACTGCTGCTGAGGGAACAAGGCGTCCGTGGGATGATCGAAGCTCTGCCACACCAAAGTCCCATTCCGGGTGCGAAGGACGAGATTCCCAGGAGCTTCCAGCGCGAGGATCTGTGCTCCAGAGCCAGCCGTTCCCGTGCACCACACCAAGCTTCCATCGCGATCACTCAATTCCAAGTTTCCATCTTCGGTGAAGTTAAGGTACGCACCTTGATGAACTAGTTTCTCTGTAGCTCTCCACACCACTGTTGCAGGCGTTATGACCTGCGCTTTCTCGTCGTTTGGCTGGGCTACCAAGTAGGCGGACAGAGAATACAAGACAGCCCAGGTCATGGAACGCGAGGTAAAGCCAAACGCTGCTTGGATCTCGCCATCTTTTTGTAGTTCCAGGACGTTGCGAGTGATGGGCCTACTGAGTTCCAAGCTGTAGCCCGCCTCGACCGAAGACTGTGAGGAGACGAGGAGAGGGATGGTTACCAGCTGGAGGCCGATGGCGAAGAAGAAGAACTTGGAACAGTGGTCGGGCATCGCTGATGGAAATGGCGGAAGCTTTGCAGATCTCCCCTTTTCTTCGCGTTTGATGATTCTTACGAGACGGACGGAGGGATTTTCCAAGGACCATTCTTTTTTCGTTACGTGCATTTCAAGGGAGTTCGTTCGTCCTGGTGATCTCGTGAGGAACTATGCTAATAGCTGAGTCTCTTATGTGCAATATTTGTTTTCTTTCTTTCTTTCTTTCTTTATTCTTGATGTTTTCAAGGTCAGCCAGCTGTCTTTTAAAATGTCTAAGTTGACCATGGTTGACTATAGTGTGTGCTTAGTCAATTCTACTGTCAAAGATGGTAATTTCATCTCAGGAGAACAAAATCGAGTCTTTCCTGTGAGCACAAGAGAAGTTCCAAGCGGCGCTTCCCACCCAAAGAAGTACGGCAGCATCGCAAACGTGGGAGGACTACGCGAGGCAAATCGCCTCGTCTCCTCCGGCTCCACAAAGCTTCGATCCCTCTTCGCGACCGTCTTTCGCCTGCCAGAAAGCGATGATCAAGAACGCGCATCCAGCTCCATGTTCGTCCCCGGATTCTCTGGAGAAATCTCTCGCTGCCCAGGAATCGTTGTTTCAAGTTTCGACACAGGCTCGCGGTCAATCGTGGTGGCAATGAGATGACCAAGGCTGAGCCGGAGAGGGATGTACCGATTGGTCCCAATCCCCTCCATAACAGGATGGACAAGACAAGTTTCCCATGACAGGATCTTTGTATCCTTCTGTTCAAAGTTTGGCAGGATGGGGCGTCTTACCATTTTGATAGATATCATCGGCAAGGAAGGAAGTACATTTTTCGCCAGAGAACACATACTGCATGGAGTTTCTTATTCTTCAACTCTGGACAGGAGCACTTATGTCGCAGGCATGTTTTCCTCTTTGAAGCTTGAACAGCTCTTAGCCCCAAGGTGGCATTCTTTCTATATTGTGACAAACGTTGCTCTTTCGAATCGCTTATGACTACCAAAGCAGCCACTCAAGTCCGTCCACAAGCACGTCGTCACGTCAAACTCGAGCATCAGCGGCTTCCCGCAGCAAATCACCCATATCTTGTCCTCCTCGTTGCTGCAAAACAAAAACTCGGACTTTGGATCCGACACTTCCCCAAGCTCCCACGAAGACCCGGGCATCCACTGCTCCGTCCCCTCCCAATCGAGGGTGCACACCACGACCTTATCCCCAGGGACAAAAACACCGCATACCTGTTCTCGCAACTGAAGACCGCGCCCTTCGAGCCCTCATGCAGATCAGGATCGTTGTTCCCAGCTATGGAGTCTCCTATCTGTCCTGAGGCATCCTGCGAGAGCCAATACTGGTGGACAGTAGGTTACGCCATAGAATGGCAGCTTCGACACTGGAAAGCTGCAGTGGCATTCGTGAGAGTCCAACGGGCGCATCCAGATACATAACAAAATATCATAGTAAAGGATGTGCTTGGTTGCAGTGTTGGAAACCGCAAGCACGAACCGATCCCCTGTCCAGAAAGGCGTTGACTCATCGAGAGCCATTCCCCAAAACTGGAGATCAGCCGAGATACCGACGATCCAAGAATCGCGTGGCCTCGTCTCGCACTCTTCATACATTACCAGGAAGCACTTGCTGTGGAGCTTGGCGTGCAGCGCCTGCAAACGCTGCGCGTTGGGAAGACATCAAAGCAACAATAATTCTACTAGAACACCAGCCAGAGTCGAGTGCAGAGCGGTGGAAGAGGAAGATTTTCTGGTATTCTAATTAATGTCCGGTTGGAGCCGCGCATGATCAAAGATCATGTGAAAGAGACGAGGACGAAAACATTGGACTTCAAGGCATGCTGCTCTGAGATATGGCATCTCTGCGAACATTTGGAGACCAATGGAGATCCTTAAAGGTATTTGATACTTGTACCTTGGGTTGAAATCCTGCAGGAGGCTCTACTATGCCAACATGGAGAAAAAAATACCTCTCAGCTTCGTTTATAGATTCTTTTATCGGCAACGGAGGACCTATAAAAGGATCTTACTGCTTTTCTGAAATACAAACTGAAATAGCTTGGAGAAAATCACAGATATTCGTTGAGCATTGTCAACTTTTGGGAGCCCTAACCCTCCAAACCCTAAAAGCTCTGTCCAGCTCACACGAGTTCACGAGTTTGCGCTTGAATATTAACTGTGACCTTCAAATTAGAGCGACTGCTCTTTTCTTCTCATGCGCTTTCTGATGATCATGGCTGGAGAAAGAATGGTCGCGACTGTCAGTATCGTCTAAATGTTGCTTCTGGGCGCTTCCATTGCGACCGCTTCCACCGCTGGTGCGTCTCTCAACTTGGTCCCAAGGCAAGTCTTTCAATGATTTCTCTCTTTTCTCTCTTCGAACCAGCAATGGCTTTGCTTGTTTATTACGACTTTGCAGGAGCCAGGAGTGCCCAGAAAGCTGTTTCAAGCCGGCGAGCTTGTCGATCTTAAATCAGGGGAGAGGCTCTATCATCGCTTACCTTGAGCACAAGAGAAGTTCCAAGCGAAAGCAGTACCACGGCAGCATCGCAAAGGCGTGCGGGGACTACGCGATGCAAATCGCCTCGTCTCCGGCTCCGGAAAGCGTGGGTTCCCTTTTCGCCACCGCATCTTGCCAGAAAACGATGATCAGGAACGGGCATCCAGCTCCATCTTCGTCCCCGGATTCTCTGGATGAATCCCTCGCTGCCCGGCCAGACGAGGTCCCGTCGAGTGGTCGGAATCCCATCCATAACAGGATGGACCCCTTCCCATGACAGGATCTTTCTATTCTTCTGTTTTAGACTGAAGTGATTCATCCACGATTCATCTTAGATAAAATGAGATTGCCGAGTTGAGCTTCGTCTTACCATTTTGATGGCGAAAAGAGATGTTACATTTTTCCTTAGTCGCAGGCAAGGTTTTCTCCTTGAAGCTTGGATTGAGAATAAACTCCCATTGTCCAGTGAGCTCCCCACTGGGAGAAATCTTGAGCGTCTGGAGACCGTGACTAAAGAACCGTTCCGCTTGGGCTGTAAATCAAGTTTCTGCTGTTGACCATCTGCGGAACCATTTGCCAAATTGCCGTCTCCATGTTTGAGAAAATACTTTTGCTTTAGTTTCTACATAGCGGACGAGAATTCACTTTGAAGAACTCCTGGAGTGCGGCTTCAAGCTACAAGTGAATTTTGGTTAACGGGAAATTGTTTTATTCAAGTTCTTTATGCCTTCGTGTTTTCTTGCCCATTTAGAGATGTCTCGCAAAATGGCGTTGCGACAAAGCAAACGTCTGCTGACCACATTGACTAGATAGTCAATACAAATTTTGGCTTTTGCAGTGATACTTGCAAAGTTTACCATGTCAGTTGGTTATTTGATTATTGTTTCTTTGAGGTCATAACTTTCTTCAATACCGCAGTCGCAGAAATTATATCCGACTCGGTGTGCCCAGCCGAGATGCACACTCGGATACCAGCAGGGAGCGCGCAGTTATCCAAAGCAGTGCGTTTCTGGACGGACATAAGGACCGAGTGCTCTAACATCTACACAAGAGGAGATGGTTTAGCTTAGCTCCTCAAGCAAGGAAAGGGAACGAAGAAAAAGATTTCTATACCTCGTCCACGATGGCTTGTAAATAGGCAGCGTCCGCGTGAAACGATCCTAGCGAGGGTCTCAAGTGGAGAAGAACAACCGGGGAGCGTGTGTCGCTGCCTATCCTTATGCCGGAGACGTCCGACAAGCCTGTCAAGAAGAAAATCGTGGACAGTAAGATCAGTAAGATCCTTGTGGAAAGAAGAGCTACAGAGGCTTACACTTGTGGAAAAGAGCGATGTTGTTATGTAGTCTGGCGAGGACACTTGGATCGTCCTCGAGCAGCTCTATGGCTGAAATGGACGCGGTCGCGAGGAACGGTGGTAATGACGCCGAGAAGCAGTACCCTGCTCCGCTAAGGCGCTGTTTGTCATGTTTCGGTTGTCCGCATTAATAGAAGCAAAAACATAAAGATACCTGATGATCGACAACTTTTGCACTGCCAGTACAGAATCCCCCGGCCGAAGCGAATGCCGTGCCCATCGCAGCTGTTATAATATCGATCTTTTCAATCTGGGAGAGACGACTGACTGGTAAGCACAATCAAAGTCCGCCGAGGAAAAGCATACCGGAATGTTGAAATGCTCAGAAATGCCTCGTCCTGATTTTCCAAGCACTCCAATAGAGTTACTTTCATCAACGAGTAACCGGAAGAGATACTTCTCCTTCAGGCGTACAATCTCGCCCAACGGTGCCACTTTACCCGAGTTCTGTAGAGCAAATTATCGCAAAATCATCCGACACGAACCAAAAACCTTACTTGGTAAATAGCCTCCACAACGATGAAACGACGATTCAAGGGCTTCTTCTTTCGCTCGTCTTCTTTTCGAACTTCTTTCAAACGGGTTTCCAGGGACCCCATATCATTGTGTCTGAAATACTTGATGGTGCTTCGAGAAAGATGCAGGCCATTCTGGATCCCCCAGCTCACACCGTCGTCACTGCACCACAGAAAACTTTAGAGAAAAGCATCCCACGACATGGACCACTTACGCTATAATTATATCCCCGCGCTTGCAAAACGCAGGAATACAACTCGCAGCAGTTGCGAGGCCATAGGAGTAAAGAATTGACTCGGACGTTCCTAAGAAACTGGAAATTTTTGTCTCCAAGTCTAGGTGCACATCTACACAAAAACACAAACATAATAAGCAACCTTGGACATATAGAGCAAGGTAAATTTCACACTGACCAATGGTGCCATAAAAACCACGCGGACCGCATGCTCCAACGCCATACTTCAGCAAAGTAGCGTTGCAGGATTCCTACAAGTCACACAGTGAAAACAGAAGTAAACATAATACACTTTTGCTTTCTCATTTTGCCATACCTTGATCCTTTCATCGCCAACGAATCCCAGATAGTTGGCTGTGGAGAGATTTATAACTTTCCTGCCATTTATTTGCACAGTTGGACCTGCTGCACTGAACCATGAAGGCATTTAGTTTGGTTCCATTCGGCAAATCGTGTATAAAGAAGAAGAAAGACACAGAAAAAAAAATTCTAGTTTTGCGAAGATGAGTACCTCTCTAGAACCGGATATGGCGGTGTCATCTCTTTGGTAACTGGCGGATGCAAAGGCTCTGGAGTCCATTCTTCCACAAGTTGGTCGATTTCCTTCACCAAAACATTAGTACCGTAGAAAAATAAAAAATAAAAAATCAAGCCTTCTTCTCTTACTTTCTCCGACAATGGCCTGCTTGCCGGCTGATAGCTCTTTTGGAAAAGAAGGAATACGATCACCACAGCAAGTACGACTTCGACGATCAAATGTCCTGTTCAAAGACAGCCATTGCGAATCATAGCTGAAAAACAAGTACCATGACTAAATCTAATCGCCAGAAACACAGATCTGTGCTCATACCTCCAAATCGAACTCCAAAAACCACAGCATCCCCCAATTGCGCCTCCCAAAGCGACTGCCACACCTCCATCGTCGCCCAACCCCTAACAAAAGCCCTAATGTCTCCAAATAAAATTCACCCGTCTATCGCAGCCGTCTATCTCAGAAAATAATCCTAGCGGTCGATCATGTGGCGCGCGCGTCCTTATTTGAATTACGGCCGGTGATCTACATGAACTCTCACAATGCCACTCAAAGAACACGATTTCACGTCCTCCTTCCCAGCGCGAGTTTTGTGAGGGATTGGAGGAGCGTCCACTGTTTCCAAGGATCCCGCCAGCATTTTCGTGACATATTCCATCGATGGTCTCTGGCCGGGATCACTCTGGACGCACCACAATCCAAGTCTCAGCATCTTCTCCATCTTCTTGAAACACGGCTCCTGGTTTTGCTGCGACGAAAAGCTCACTCTCTTGTCCATGTCGTTTCAATATAACACCAAATACTTTACCATAATCTTGTTGCAACAATATAACTAAATGTATCACAATGAAATTCAAAGGGTTTATCAAAATATAAAATCCTAAGAATAATAATCATTGTCTTTCACTTTACAAAAGCATGCTAGCAAGCTAGTGTCTAATGAAATGGTATATTACCTTCGTTAACTCAATCAACATAAGGGCAATACTTGCAAAATTGCAAAACAAATTGCAATAGTATCTTACTAAGCTACAAAAAGAATAAATATTTGATATAGTGATTGAAACTTCCTAAGATTTCATCACTTTTACTTTCTTTGGATCCATTTCAATTACACCACCACTAACCATATGCCTAAAAAAGTTCATATGCAATTTATAAAAAATGCACTTACACTCCTTTATAATTTGTTTTCTTGTACCTTTTAAAACATTAACTCTAAGTGTTTCAAATAATCCTCTAACATTCAACTAAAGATTATGATATTGTCAATATATAGAATAACAAATGTGTCTAAATAATCTCTAAATATTTTATCCATCATCATACTAAAAGTAGCCATAGTATTATATAGCTTGAATGGCATAATCAATAACTCATTGGATCCATAACAAGCCTTAAATATTGTCTTTTCCACATCTCAATCTACCATCCATATCTGATAATACCCAAATTATGTGAAATATTTGGCATTTAAGAGTTAGTCGAACAAGTCATTAATGTGAGGTAATGGATAACTAGTTTTTACTATGATCTTATTGAAAGCTTAATAATTGATATACACCCTCATAATACCATACTTTTTCATAACAAAAATGACTAGTCTCTACAAGGCAATTTGCTTAGTTAAATATAACCTTTGTTAAGAAGTTCCATAAGTTGCTTCTTGAGTTTAGCCATCTCCTTGATGTTCACGCGGTATAGAGCTTATATGTGTGGGAAGATATTTTGATTCCTCGTCATTAACTCTATAATTTTACTTGGTATAGGATTAACCCCATCACTTATCCAAATTTTATCACCATCACTCTCAACATTCATCACTTCAACCTAAAAGGATTTTTGTAATATACTTGTAAAATTCTAAGGATTTATGTCTTACATCTTTATAATTGAAACAATGACACATATTAAGAGTATACTTTGTAAGTTGTTGTTACTTGAGCCCATCAAAAGGAGAAATAGAAGGCTTAAGATCATAAGAAAATAATGGTGGTTGCCAACTATCACTCTTATTAATTATTGTTTGTGAACCTTTGAAATAGAACTTTCCTTCCACTTTGTGTTTTTGTTCACCTTGTTTATTTTAAAAGTTTTAATTCTTATCCACAATATATGTCTATTAATACTATTCCATGAGTGAGTGATTAAATGCAACTTATTGTGCTACTTCTTTGCATTCCAAAAATATCTTTGGTTTAAGAAAGTGAACTTAAACCTTTTAAGAAATAACTCCAAACATCTTCATCACTTATATTTGCAATGATAATACATTTCTGAGCAAATGCATTAATATAGTGTAAAATGTCCCCACATTGTTTTAACCATTGCGGCTCTATGCAAAGTCTAAGACCAAGATTATCTGGTAAGTATTCCTTGCAGTTATAAGATCATATCTTCATCTAACTTTTAATCTACCTTTTTTTAGTGTATATCTAACACCACTAAGTTTTAGCATAATTGGTGAAAAAGGATTACACACTTGTAACTTTTATATGATTATCTATAGCTGCTTCTATGAAATAATTTTTCATATTGTATATCCAATATTCCAAAACCTAATAGTTTTGCATGCCTTTGTTTTGGGGCCTTAAACTTTAAAACTCATATAATTGAGGATCCTTAAAACTTGATGAGGTAGGTTTAGCTTTTTTAGTGGCTTCTTTTTGTTTTCCTTCTTTAATTTATGAATTTACTTTTGCACATTTTCAATCTAATATTTTTAGTCATATGCTATGGTGTAAATTTTGACCTAAGCTATTTCTCTTTAGACTCAACCTTAACATCTTTTACAGCATCTCCACCAAGAGCTTCCTCCTTTTTATTTGCTCGCCTAGAGGTTTCAAATTTCTTAGCATGGTTTCGTTTTGCCATCTCACTAATTACATATATGCTTGTATCAATAAAGGCATATATACAATATTCTTATTGAATGGTTCAATCCAATTAATTTTACATATGTCACTTTGAATCTATTAGGAAAGTCTCTATGTATACAACTAAAGTCAAAAAGTTCTGACAAAATTTAGATAAAAATCGCTGAGACATTTTCTCTTATATTAAATATAGCACACTTAAATTTAGAATTGAATTCCATGCTACAAAATAAGGGTCTAGTATAAACTTAAAAATCCTCTACAAACACTTACTCCCTATATTTAAAGTCAGATGCAAAATAAAGAGTGATATAGCCTAATAGGAAATAAACTAATATTTCAAGTGGTCAACCATGCTTTCAACCATTATCTTTATTATCTTTATTATACATTTTGAATGCCCCCCCCCCCCCCCCCCCCCCGCGCGCTGGATATATAAACAACACTATAATGTTCAAGACTCTATTCCATATATATGCCTCACTAATAGACCTAGACATTTATCATAAACAGCACATAGGACTAAAATGGAATTAACAGACACAATAAACTAGCATATAATGATATTAAAAGATTAAGCTCAATATGCAAGGTTTTTGCCAAAGACAATAGAGCAAAAGAAACTAATAAATTGGTAAAGTCACATTTATAATATATAACACCTATTTGCTTAGTGTGGATGAGCTCCATTTTGCCTAGTGCCAATAGTAGCAATTGTGACAGCAGGCCAGTGCAACCAAGTGTCATATTTCTCTATGTCTTGCAATACATGGCTCATATATTATCTTAGAGGGTGTTATTATTGGGATTTTCAATGATAATTTTGGTGATGTGCAGTTTGAGACATCATGCAAAGTTTCTCTGGGTGGAAAAATGTCATTGTCATTACATTTGCCCAGTGGGGAGATTGTACTAGGGCAAGTGCCACTAAATAAATTGAGTGTCAAGCCTTCCATGAGGGTAACTTTTGAAGCCCTTCATCTTTCCTTGGGCGTTGTGAGATTGCTGCCACTGATTAAACAGCTAGGAGACCTCTCTCTCATGATCTCTCATGAGTTTCTTTAGATAATGGAGGAGAGAATGGGAGATTTAACTATTAATGCTCTTTATTTCCTGGCAAATGGTGTTTTGTGGTGAGTGGGGCATGTGATGATGCCTAATATGCTCGTCAAAGGCATATTTATTACCAGTCTTAAAATGTACATAAACATTGCTGGCATTTGCCAAAATAGTGGCATGTCTTACTCTTCCATACAGCCATGTGATGCTCTTGCAGGCCACTTCTCCACCTGCAAATTGCTAAAACCTTGGAGGATGAAAGGTAGAGAGGTTCTTACCTTTGTTTCAACAGTTAACCTCTTCGGGCATCTATTCTGGACTATGCTTGTTTAAGACACTTGTTTTTCATGGAACGGCATAACATGAGCCTATTTATCCAAACTTTGGCAGGTTACTTCTCTGTTTAGAGGCCACTAGAGGCTCTTATCTTGGGAGAATTGGTTGTATTGCTTGCTATTGTGGCATTTACACAAATAATACTTTCTGCTTTGTTTTCTGAGTATTTATACTAGCACTTTCTCTGTATTTAGTTCTTAACTTTTTAGCTTTTTTTATGAGAGCTTAACATAAGCACAAGCATTTATGCCAAATATGCTTCATTGTTGATGTTTATGGCCAAATGTGGGAGGATATAAATCACCCTAGGACAAGACAAGGCTGTTCAAATAAAGTATCACTTTTGATGTATAGGCCTGAGAGTGGGTGGAAAGCTCTATTGCAACTACATCACCATATGTTTGGCCTTAGAATGCCAATACTATAATTCTGTAGTAGTGTTTTTAGTCTCTCTACATGTCTTTTTCTCTTCGCTTTTACTCTCATCATCCAGAGAGCAAACACTTGCAAGCCATTTTACATCCCCCAACTCAAACTCTCATTACAGAACCACAAAAAACGTTATCAAACAAATCCCATGACCCTTACGCTAGTATTAAATCCCCCTCGCATGCGCATAGGAGTCAATTCAGACGAATTGATTCTACACAAATCTACACAAAAACACAACCCTTGATATGTTAAAGAAAGTAAATTTAACACTGACCAACGGTGCCATAAAAACGATGCGGGCATCCTTCGGTACAATGAAAGTTGAAGTTCACCCTCTCACGTCGATCATGTGCCGCGCGCTTTCTTGTTTGAATTACAGCCGTTGATGTACATGAACTCTCACAAAAAGGACACTATGTCATGTCGATGGCCTCCTTCCCGGCTCGAAAATAAGGAGGGATTGGAGGAGCGTCAACCGTTTCCAAGGATCCCTCCAGCATGTTTGTGACGTATCCCATTGATGGTCTCTGTCCAGGATCACTCTGGACGCACCACAATCCAATTCTCAGCAGCTTTTCCATTTTCTTGAAACATTGATGCGAAGAAAAGCTCATCCTCTTGTCCATGATCTCCGCAACTTGCTTGTTTCGAGACATCTCGAGAACTCCTCCAGCCAGGAACTTCGATCCGCAAGGAGAGGAAGCGGGCTTGCCAGTGACCATCTCCAGCACCACCACTCCAAAGCTGAAGGTGTCGAGCTTGTCGCTCACCTGGGATTGAAGCCACTCCGGAGCCATGTATCCCGGGGTGCCCCGGATGATCATCTCGTCCATCGCTTGAAGCTCGCCTTGCCTCGAGAGCCCAAAGTCAGAGATCTTGGCTCGAAATTTCTCGTCCAGGAGTATGTTCTGGGGCTTGATGTCCAAGTGTAGCACCCTCGTCCGGCATCCGTCGTGGAGGTAGGACAGTCCCCGAGCGATGTCGAGAGCGATCGAGTATCTGGCATCGCAGTCCAGGAACTTGTCGTCATCAAACAGCCAGCGGTCGAGAGAACCATTGGCGACGAACTCGTAGACGAGCAAGTTCGGGCAGCAAAATCCCCGGAGCCGCACCAAGTTCTTGTGGTGGATGCTGATGATGGCCACCACCTCGGCTTCAAACAGCTTGTGCACTTGCTTGGAGTCGCTCACGCGCTTCACGGCCACCCGGCTCCCGTCCGCAAGAACACCTTCGAAGACCGACCCGAATCCCCCGCTCCCGATCTCCCTGCTAAGCTTCTCGGTCGCCACCTCCAGCTCGTGCAGGGAGAAGGGCCGAGGCAGCTCGGACGACAAAGCCTGGCCCTGGTCCACAGCATCGCTTCTCGCTCTCTTCGAGTAGAAAGTGATGAACATCACCGTTGCCGTTGCCATCCCCAAGAGCAGCACGAACACGCCGATGACGATGGCTTGGACGTTGGAGCTCCAGCCGCCGGTATGGTGTCTGACTTGAGGCTTGACGATTATTTCTGGAGCGGATGGCCTCTTCTTTTCAACCTTGAGAAACGCTTTGAACGACGGCGTCGTGTTGTAGCTGCTGCCGAGCAACGTGTAGAACTCGGTCACCCGGAAGCACGTCGTGGACGAGTTGCTGGAGACGAACGCTGCCTTGCAAGCACAGTCCTTCAAGCACGAGCTCACGCACGACTCTTCCTCGTTGGCTGCCATGAACCGCAGCGGCGCATAGTTGTAGAAGCCAGATGCTTGGAGCATGACGTGCTTGGACGAGATATACAGTCCGTCGCACGGGCCCTCCGGCTCCCAAGGCTGGCACCCTTTTGAAGCATCAGCGGGATCAACCTGCTGGAAGTATGATCTCTCGCCTTGCAGCAGCGGACAGCCACATTTTCTGTTTTCCACGTCGAAGACGCTCTTCTTCCCGCAAGCCCCAATGCTTACAGCCTCTAAGTCATTGAAGAGCAAAGCGTTGAGATTCACCGACGCCATCTTGGGCTGGTTGTCGAAGCGCAAACTCCCATCGGCGTGTATCCTCAGCACCTCGAGCGCTGTCGAGTCGGTACAAAAAGGTGGCGTCGTCAAGAAGGGCTCCCAGTCTGTCATGTATATCTTCAGCTGGCAGCCAGAGTCGAGAGACATCTTGATCACGTTGAGGCTACTCGGATTGCTCCACACTTTGTAGATTTGAGGTGACACCGGCGCCTCGGCTGTCATCACTATTCCCGAAGTCCCCACCTCGAGCGTGAAGTAGCCTTGGAATCCCTCTGCCTCTTGGACGCTGTTAGAAACCATGCCCATTCCTGACTTCAGCCCTTGCTGCAGCAGCAGCGAATCGGTCGGGTTCCAGAAGCTCTGCCAGGCAGGGCTAGCATAGTGTATCTTGTTGAGCACCAAGTTACCCGATGACTCTAGCCTCATTTCTAGGACTCCTTTCCTGGCGGTGCCTGTCGACCACACCAGACTCTTCCCTTGGCCATCTCTGTATAGCACCAAGTTTCCATCTGCGGTCAAGCTGAGCATACCACCTTCAGAAACCGGCACGCCTGCTCGCCATACCACCTGTGCGCTCTGGTTGGAGCTCGGATCCTGGAAGAAGACCGAGAAGTAGTATCGGGGCCTGGGGCAGTGGTCGCAAGTGGGGAGAAAGCCGGCGAAAACTGGGAACTGTGCATCGGGCACCGAGAGGACAATGCCCGACCAGGAGCCGTCGAGTATCCATGTCGAGTTGAGAGGCGCTGCGGCTTGATCCTGCGTAAACGATGGAGTAACTGCACGAATCATCAGGAGAATCATGAAAGAGCAAACCGCCATGAGTTGTAAAGTTGCTGAGCAGATACTTTCTTTCGAGCACCTTCAGACAAGGGAGAAGCATCGGTGCTTCAGTCGCGTGATGGAAACATTTCTTTACAACCGAGGCATATAATTCGGATTCCAAAGAGCGCAGAGACTAGCATTTGGCTCGGTATGAAGATTTATATGCTTGTGAAGAAATAGTTATTGGATCATGAAGATTACTTGTTTCACAAAGGAACCCGAAGTTCCAGGGAATGAAGTTCATCGGGCTAAAGTAATACATAGAAAGCTGCTCAGGCCAAAAGAATACATGAGACAAAGATATTTACCTTTTATGTGTTTCTGAAAAGTGTGAAGATATGTTTGAAACCAAGTTACCAACAGGCACACAAAGCTATGAAGGGAAGTACCTTGCCGTCGCTTTCAGAAACCTTGATCGGTGGATCGACAATAGAGAGAAAACATGAGTAAGATTTCCTATTCCAATCAACCAAGAGAAAGGCGGATTATTCATAATACCTCATCCACGATGGTTTGTAAACAAGCAGCGTCAGCGTGAAACGATCCTAGCGAGATTCTGAGGTGAAGAAGAACAATCGGGAGCTTGCGTCGCTGCATGCTGGAGACGTCCGGCAAGCCTGTCATGGAAAATAAAATCCCTGTGGAAAGAAAAGTGCTGCGCCGGCGAACTTGGATCCTCCTCGATCGCGCTGCTCTAGCTAGGAACGGAGGTAACGACGGCCAAAAGCATTATGCTAGGATTGTCCCGCATAAATAGAAAAAGGTACCTAATGATCGAAAACTCTTACAGACGTGCCCATTGCAGTCCTTTCAATCAGGCAGAAACCACTGACTGGTAAGCACAATCAAAGACTGCTGAGAAAATCTTTTCATCAATGAGTGAGTACGAGGAAAAAATTCCCCTCATACAATCTTGTGCAAAGGTGCCAATTTAATTATCAACACAAACCATAAAGCTCCAATATCAAATACTTGATGGTGCTTCAAGAAAGCTGCAGGCCATTTTCGACCCCTCCTCATCACTTAACTACAGAAAACGTTAGAAAGCAAATCCACTTACGCTATGATTAAATCCCCATCGCTTGCAAAAAAACATAAGATTCGATTCAAGAAACTGGCAAGGTAAGTCTTACACAAAAACACAAAACCTACGCTTTTCATTTCCTGACCGACAAATCCCAGATAGTTGGCCGTCGAGAGATTTATAACTTCTTAACCTGGTCCAACTTCCACGGTTGGACCTGCTTTAGTTTTCAGCAAATCATGTATGGAAGGAAAAATAAATAGTTTTTGCAAAGAATGCGACAAGTTGGTCGATTTCCTTCAACCAAACATTAGTATTCCGCTGATAGCTCTTTTCGAAGGAAGGAATACAACCACCACACCGACGGCCATCTGAAAAAAAAAAAAAAGAATTCCAACCGCCCAATGCCAGATCCGTTGGCACCTACGCTCATACAACCAAAAACTCCGCAGATGGACTCCATCGTCAAACAAATGCCGCGCGCTTGTCATCACTTCCCAATGGATTTCCTGCCGCGCCATAAATCCAAATGGCGAGATTATGCCACTACCGGATTGCACCAAGTTCGAGAGCATACAGCCGTCGATAATATGGCGCGCGCTTCCCATTTGAATTACAGCCGTTGATCTACATGAACTCTCACAATGTCACTCAAAGAGCACGATCTCATGTCGATTGCCTCCTCCTTCCCGGCGCGAGATTTGGGAGGGATTGGAGGAGCGTCCACTGTTTCCAAGGATCCCTCCAGCATTTTCGTGACATATCCCATCGATGGTCTCTGGCCGGGATCACTCTGGACGCACCACAATCCAATTCTCAGCAGCTTCTCCATCTTCTTGAAACATTGTGAAGAAAAGTTCATCCTCTTGTCCATGATCTCCACTACTGGCCTTTTTTGAGACATCTCAAGAACTCCTCCAGCCAGGAACTTCGATCCGCAAGGAGAGCACGCAGGCTTGCCAGTGACCATCTCCAGCACCACCACTCCAAAGCTGTAAGTGTCGAGCTTGTCACTAATCTGGAAGTGGAGCCACTCCGGAGCCATGTATCCCGGAGTCCCCCGGATGACCATCTCGTCCACCGCTTGAAGCTCGCCTTGCCGCGAGAGCCCAAAGTCGGAGATCTTTGCTCGAAATTTCTCGTCCAGCAGTATGTTCTGCGGCTTGATGTCCAAGTGTAGCACCCTCGTCCGGCATCCGTCGTGGAGGTAGGACAGTCCCCGAGCGATGTCGAGAGCGATCGAGTATCTGGCATCGCAGTCCAGGAACTTGTCGTCATCAAACAGCCAGCGGTCGAGAGAACCATTGGCGACGAACTCGTAGACGAGCAAGTTCGGGCAGCAAAATCCCCGGAGCCGCACCAAGTTCTTGTGGTGGATGCTGATGATGGCCACCACCTCGGCTTCAAACAACTTGTGGACTTGCTTGGAGTCGCTCACGCGCTTCACGGCCACCCGGCTCCCGTCCGCAAGAACACCTTCGAAGACCGATCCGAATCCCCCGCTCCCGATCTCCCTGCTAAACTTCTCGGTCGCCACCTCCAGCTCGTGCAGCGAGAAGGGCCGAGGTAGCTCGGACGACAAAGCCTGGCCCTGGTCCACAGCGTCGCTAGCTCTCTTCCAGTAGAAAGTGATGAACGTCACCATTGCCGTCGCCATCGCCAAGAGCAGCATGAAGACGCCAATGAGGATGGCTTGGACGTTGGAGCTCCAGCCGCCGGTAGGGGGTCTGACTTGAGGCTTGACGATTATCTCTGGAGCGGATGGTCTCTTCTTTTCAACCTTGAGAAACGCTTTGAACGACGGCGTTGTGTTGTAGCTGCTGCCGCGCAGCGTGTAGAACTCGGTCACTCGGAAGCACGTCGCGGACGAGTTGCTAGAGACAAACGCCGCCTTGCAAGCGCAGTCCTCCAAGCAGGAGCTCACGCACGAGTCTCCCTCGTTGGCTGCCATGAATCGCAGCGGCGCGTAGTTGTAGAAGCCAGCCGCTTGGAGCATGACGTGGTTTGACGAGTTATACAGTCCGTCACACGGGTCCTCCGGCTCCCAAGGCTGGCACCCTTTGGAAGCATCGGCCGGATCAAGCTGCTGGAAGTATGATCTCTCGCCTTGTAGCAGCGGACAGCCACACTTCCTGGTTTCCACGTCGAAGACGCTCTTCTTCCCGCAAGCCCCGATGCTTACAGCCTCTACGTCATCGAAGAGCAACGCGTTGAGATACACCGAGGCTTTTTCGGGCTGGTTGTCATAGCGCAATGTCCCGTCGGGGTGTATCCTCAGCACCTCCAGCGTTGTCGAGTCGATACAAAAAGATGGCGTCGACCAGCAGGGCTGCCCGTCTGTGGTGTAGATCTTGAGCTGGCAGCCAGACTCGAGAGACATGTCACCCACGTCGAGGCTACTCGGATTTCTCCACAGTTTGTAGATTTGAGGCGCCACCGGCGCCTGGGCGGTCATCACTATTTCCGAGACTCTCACCTCGAGCGTGAAGTAGCCTTGGAACCCCTCCGCCTCTTGGACGCTGTTAGAAACCATGCTCGTTCCTGACTCTAGATTTTGCGTCGGCAGCAGCGCGTCGGTCGGGTTCCGGAAGCTCTGCCAGGCGGTGCCATCATATTTGGCCTTGTTGAGCAGCAAGTTGCCGGTATAGTCTAGCCTCATTTCTAGGACTCCTTTCCTGGCGGTGCCTGTCGACCACACTGGACTCTTCGCATGGCCATCTCTGTATAGCACCAAGTTTCCATCTGCGGTCAAGCTGAGCATACCACCTTCGGAAATCGGGAGGCCTGCTCGCCATACAACCTGCGTGCTCTGGTTGGAGCTCGGATCCTGGAAGAAGACCGAGAAGTAATACCGGGGCCTGGGGCAGTGGTCGCAAGTGGGGAGAAAGCCGGCGAAAACTGGGAACTTTGCATCGGGCACTGAGAGGACAATGCGCGACGAGGAGCCGTCGAGTATCCATGTCGAGTTGAGGGGCGCTGCGCCTTGATCCTGCGTAAACGATGGAGTAACGGCACCAATCATCAGGAGAATCACGAAAGAGCAAACCGCCATGGGACGTGAAAAGCGTGCTGAGCAGATACTTTCTTTCTTTCGGGCGCCCCCGGACAAGGGACGAGCATCGGTGCTTCAGTCGCGCTATGAAATATTTCTTCACGACCGAGGCATATAGTTTGGATGTAAATGAGCGCAGCAAGTACCACTTGGCCTGGCATGTGGAGCTCGTTAGCTGTCCCAAAGAAGACATCAGTACTGTAAGATCTATATGCTTACCTCGTCTGTGGAAAGAAATAGTTCTCAAGCACCCAAACGCATTAGGGATCCCCGCAAAAACCAGTGGAAACGTAAGTTCCAGCTATAATAATTGCCACAAGTTCCTCAGCTCACCAGGCAAAAAGAGTGCGTGAGTGAGACATAGAGACGTAGCTGTTTCTCAAGAGAGTAAAAAGCTATTAAAATTGTTGGTACCAACAGGCACACAAATCTACAAAGTACCTCACCATACCTCGCAGATGCCTTGATAACAAAGCTTGTGCGAAGCTCCAAATTACAGTAAATCCGCTGGAAAAGCTAAACAAAGACATCCGAAGGATGAAAATCCATCTAAACACCCTCCACGATATTGTGATGGATTTTCATCGCTCTAATGTCCTTGCGAACTATCCCAGTCACATTGCCCTAAAACACTTCACCTTACGGAATAGAATCAATGCCAGAACAACAAAAGCTCTCTAGCATACCTTGCATGATCACGGCAGTATCTCGTCGGCTCACCATTGCCACATCGAATCCCAAGCTTATCCCCATCGCGCCATCGCCATAGCCATCGCCCCCGAATCGGGGCAATGGCAAAATATCAAACCTAGATTGGCAATTTAAAATTGGCGCCACGGAAAGAGCTAAAATAGTGGACGTTTTTTAGGGTTCTTCGAGAAAAGGATGGATTCGAAGGTGCTACACCTTGTGCGCCATGGCCAAGCCTTCCACAACGTCCAGGGTGAGATTCTACTGCAAATGAGGAGCTCCTGGAAGATTTTCCTGGACGGGAGATGGCGGCGCCTCACGCTCAAGCACTTTTTGAGGGCTTTTCGATGCCTGTGGCTTCTCTTGTGCTGTATCGTTTCCCCAGCGCCTCCTCGTCCCTCCTCATCCCCAGCTGCTGTGATGCCCATTTACTACGAGCACGCCGACGCGAGCCTCACGGCTACTGGCTGGGAACAAGTAAGTCACCATTTCGATTTTCCTTTCCTCCATTCATTTGGTAAATGATTGATCGCTCTCCTTCAAGGCTGAGTTTCTTCACAGGGAATTCAGGATTTCCGGATTGAGAGATCGAGTGGAGCTTGTTGTGGTATCGCCCTTGACTCGGTAGTGTGATTTCTCCTCTCGAGAACTCTTCTAAGTTTGCCTTCCAGGACGCTCCAAACTGCATCTGGGATTTTTGGAGGAGGGAATTTCACTGATACCACTGATCAACTAGCAGCTCCTCTGATGGTAGACAACGTTGGACGGTGTCCACGACCAGCCATCTCCAGTGCAAACTCCCCTCCTTTCGTAGCACTGGAGCTTTGCAGGGAGAAATTGGTATGTTGGCTCTCCCATATTTTTTCTCTCTGTCAATGTAGCTAGTTGACGCAAAGTTTTGATGAACAGGGTACCATGCCATGCGATCAGAGGAGTCCCAGGAGCAAATCCGAAATTCAGTTTCCAGGGATTGACTTTTCGAACGTAAGGATGATTCGACTTGATCGAGTTGTGTGACTTGATCCAACTCTGTTTCTCTTCTCTATCAGATCGAACAGGACCAGGACGAGCTGTGGAAGCCTGACAGAAGAGAACTAGAAGAGGAGCTCGACAAAAGGGCGAGAGCTTTTCTAGAATGGTACGTGGGCAGTCTGCAAAAGCTGTTGTAAGTTTCTGATCAAGCTTGCAGGCTATGGAGTCGTGGAGAGGAGGAGATTGCCGTCGTCTCCCACGCAGGCTTTCTGACCAACCTTGTGACAAAGTTTGGCGACGAAGCTGTGAACAAGACAGTGTAAGTGGCGTGTTTGGATGCTAGATTTGCTTGGTACTTACACTTGTGCGATTTAGGTTTGCGAACTGTGAGCTTCGTAGCGTGAGATTGAGGTGAGTCATCGTGTTTTTGTTCTCGAGACCTTAGATCTTGGCGTTTTTTTGCTCAGGAAAATAGTCACGGGCTCGGACTACGCGTTTGAGTTGACTGCAGCGTGAATTAAGTGAGCCATGGATTCTGAAAGAGTTCTTTTGCTAACTTCAAGCTAGAAGCAATTTTAGATCTTAAAACGTATCTATATTTAGCTAGGGAAAAGTTAATTTATGATGATATATCTAGGCAGAAAATAATTTAAAATATATTTAAGGGAGAGTATAATGTAAAAATAATTAAATAATTTGTAAACATGTTTATAATTTATAAACATTGTAAGATTCAATTGATTTGTTTGACTCTGAAACAATAGTTGGTGCAATTGCTTGATGTTATGTGATTGCAATTGAACAACCAAACTTAGTTGATGGCAGCATTCACAGTACATGGTATAGCTTCTCTTGCTCTTAATACTAATCTTTGAGTTTAGCCGAAGTTCTTTTGTGGGAATCTTAGGGATGATATGTATCATTAGTTTGATCACTTCACAATGATTGCCATATATCATTTTTGGGATGATGCTTGATGTTTACGTGAGTTTTCACGTGTCTCCAAGGGATGGTGCTCAAGTGGTACAATAGTTTGAGTGTAGCCACTCGCGAGAATTGAAGTGTTCTTTCGGATGTCTTTAAATGCACATTTAGACATGCTGACGATAGTGATGATGCCTTCTAACAATTGCATCATTTTCGTCAAGGGCCATTTGAGCCAATAATGCAATTTGGCATTCGTTTTCAAAGCCTCTTACTTCGTGTGAAGCCAAATATATTGGAGCAGATCAAGCTCGGAATTGTAGCACATATGGTTTTGACCATTTATCCTATGGTGATTTACCATAGGACAACACCTTAAAACGGAACCTAATGCCATATAACACATACCACGTGCCACGTATCCAAGGACAATGGTGTGGAACTTGAGTTTTAGAGCTTTGGGCCATTGAATGAAGGTACGGAGCTAAACTCCTAAGCATAGAGCCAAGGAGCGGCAAAACTGGACTATAGAGCAACTTTCAAACATACAACCTAAGGAGTGAAGGGATAGGAGCATGGAGTGACTTGGAACAGCCTTAGAGCAACCAACACCCCAATGCCAGGACTAACACGCAAAACGGAGCTAAACAGAGTTTGTATAAGCAACCAAAGGGAACGACTTGAGAGACGATCTATGGGGTTCAAATATAGAGGGAAAGGGCCCTTGAACAAAAGTGCACCCCCTTTTCCAAACAGTTAAAGGTCTTGGGATACTTGGGATTAAGTGTCATTGGGTTTGAATAGTACTAAGTTGGGTGACTTCCCGGGAAGTCCAAACTCAAGCGTTTACAATTTGGCACTATTTCGGCATACTAGTGGCCTAACGCAAGAACATGGATACTCCACCAACTAACATGGTGTGGAACTTGGGCTTAGACCCAAGCCAGACGCAAAACAAAGATAGGCATGCAAATGGAAGCTAAACTATGCTTCAGGTTGGTCGACCATGCCCGACCTACCCACTATTCCTATTATACATTTAAAACCCCCTATAACCCCCCCCCCCCCCCCTAAGGAACACATGTTTTGGGCTTTCACCCCAAATCTACCTTAGTACCAAGAGTTAGTCTTTAGGACAAACTCAAAACTTACTAAATATAGAATGTCCTTAGATTTCGATATAAAATGAACACCATTATGTTTAAGATAATCTCTACATTCCATAGATATGCCAAATGAGCAAATCTAAACACTTTCCATAAATAACATTTGGGACGAAATGAGACTAACACAAAGGGCATGATAGCGAGGGTGTTTGACAAACATAGTATGCTATCATCTAGCAATATTGAGGGACCAAGCTCAATATTGTAGGGGTTCCCAACATTAGCAAGTGCAAGTCAATATTATGAGTTTCTGTAGTGCATGTGATCATGGAATGAGATTTGGATATATTGTCACCGTGGATCTTTAGAACCTTAGGGGATAAATGGGGATAAAATAGCCACTAAGGGCTTTCTTATCAAGCAATTGCCCCTTTTCCAGTTGGCTTAAGGGGAGAGAGATAGGGTGCACTACATGTGGTATGAGCAAATAGCATGGGTTCAATTCCCATTGATTAGTGGCTACTTAAAAAAAATATAATATACCCTTGAGCAAGGTATATTCCTACCCCTAAAAATTTGAAATCGTACGAATTGGGCATCCATACGTACATCCTTCCTCTTGTGTGGAGTATCCACGGACGAAGGTATCCACTGTGGGACTATGGTACGGTGGATGACTAGTTGCCTCACATGGAATAGCTGGTTTACACAATAGAAGGATTGGATACCTTCGTGGGATTACGGTACGGGTGGATGACTAGTTGCCTCATATGGAATAGCTAGTTTACACAATGGAAGGATTGGTAAATTTAGTGCGTACGAGTTGCCTCACATGGACACAAAAGGAGTATCCACGGACGAAGGTATCCACCGTGGGACTACGGTACGGGTGGATGACTAGTTGCCTTACATGGAATAACTGGTTTACACAATGGAAGGATTGGTAAATTCAGTGCGTACGCCATGGACACAAGAGGAGTATCCATGGACGAAGGTATCCACCGTGGGACTACGGTACGGGTGGATGACTAGTTGCCTCACATGGAATAGCTGGTTTACACAATGGAAGGATTGGTAAATTCAGTGCGTACGCCATGGACACAAGAGGAGTATCCATGGACGAAGGTATCCACCGTGGGACTACGGTACGGGTGGATGACTAGTTGCCTCACATGGAATAGCTGGTTTACACAATGGAAAGATTGGTAGATTTAGTGCATACAGGTGGATGACTAGTTGCCTCACATGGAATAGCTGGTTTACACAATGGAAAGATTGGTAGATTTAGTGCATACAGGTGGATGACTAGTTGCCTCACATGGAATAATTGGTTTACATAATAGAAAGATTGGTAGATTTAGTGCGTGGGACTACAGTACGGGTGGATGAATAGTTGCCTCACATGGAATAGCAAGTGCTAGTTCCCCTTAACTCAGTAGAGGTTATTAATCAATAGTCAATAAGGACATTGACATCTCTAAAGGGGGGTGAGTGTAGTGCACGTGATCATGGGATAAGATTTGGATATACGGTCACTATGGATCCTTAGAACCTTGGGGGAATGGGGATAAAATAGCCATTAAGGGCTCTCTCATCAAGCAATTGCCCCTTTTTCCAGTTGGCTTAAGGGGAGAGAGATAGGGTGCGCTACATGTCAACTGGCTTAGGCGGAAACTAATAACAGGTCCAGCAATACCGACCTCCTATTGTCGTGGTAGTAAGGAAAGAATATCCAAAAGGATTGGCCGACATATAACTTTCGATACCTAAAGTCACATTCGCGACAATTTCTCATCAACGTGTCAAGTTTGCTTGACAAATGACAACTTAGGATTTCTTTCCTTAGTGCCTTTCTGGTCTAAGTGCACATGTGATGACCATTTTTTCAACTAGCTTAGGCAGAGATTAATAAAGGGTCCAGCAATACCGACCTCCTACCATCGCGGCAGTAAGAAAAGAATATCCGAAAGGACTAACCAATAGATAACTTTCGATACCCGAAGTCACATCTGCCATACTCTCCCCCCCTAGGGAAGATTGACGTCCTTGTCGATACATACTCGAGTCTAGACCACCGGCAAAAAAATAGCCCTAGAAAAAGTTCACGGTGACCACATTATATGAAAAATGCACCAACTTAAATGAGTTAAGATAGCCTCTTTGCCTAATGCGGATGCACTACTAACTTAAACACCTTCTAGCCGTCGCCGGCAAGGAAATGACCAACGAAGTTAGCCACCCTTGCTACTCTAAGTGTCATCTAGCTTACAAAAGTGTGATATGCCCTACCTATAGGGACATAGAGAGAGAAGCCAGAGGCTCTAACCCTCATGAGCAAAAATACCAAACCTATAAATAAGGTTTAGATAGACTACTGTAAATAAGTAGTTAGAGTTGTTTACATGGTCACGCCCTTTAAATGTATAGAGAGGCGGTGATGTGACCAGTTGACAGTAGCTACCCCATAACTAGAGATTTCACCATGCACACGAAGTGCCAAAGCCAGTTTGCGTATACTGGCCCAAACTCAAAGATTGTGAGATGGACAATATCAAAGTCAAAGACAATGATAGCTTAGAGTCTTAATTACCAGTGAATAAATCTTAGATTAGAACATAAAAGTATTCTAAGTTATCATCCGATAAACTAAAATTATAATATAGGAGCCACCAAAATCATCATTTTTGGAAACATAGGATTCACCATCTAACAAAATTCAATAGCTATTGTATCATTAAAGATACTTAATGACAAAACTTAACTATCAAAGATTGAAGATAGAATGCCAAAAAACTTATAAAAGATAACTCAAAGAACACAAAGTATTATCGACTGACAAGCAAAATGCTTGCGAATGTATCACCCAAAGGAAATAACATCCCAATCTATTAGAACTAACTTGAACAATAATCAATAGAACAGAATGAATGCGGTAAGACTAACAAACACTTATTCATGCCAACTATCACACACCAATCTAAATAGATCCCAGTCAACAATACGAAGGAACTCAAGTTCTTTAAACAAGTGTTAACAACATCCTACTAATGTCTCAAACCCAAAAGACCAATCCAAAGCAAACTACAAAAAATATGTGATAACGCAAAAAGCCAAAAGCCATTAAAAAGAACCACTAACTATCATGAAAAATCATCAATTATCCCATCAAAAAGAGATATGTATAATTATCGTCAAAGAAGGAATCTACCATCCTGAAGAATAGCGAATCATTATATATTAACAACAATCAAGCAAAACCTTTTAACAAGGATAATCAATTATCCTAGATGACAGTCAATCATCATCAATGATTGTTAGATGCAAATACAAACTTCATCGAAACTAATGAGCTAAAATGCCTTCCCCCAACAATTTCTAACAAATGGAACAATGAGTATAAAAACTTAAAAAAAACCAAGAGCTTCAAGAAGCTTATAGCCAAGTCTTACCTAACAATGATTATAAGTTTTGTATGAACTAACTTCAATGCAAAAGAAGAAATCATAGTACAACCCATAATATTTTCCTCAACACATCCATAAACTAAACTTTATAATGCTAAAGCTAATGAAGAGCATGTTTGTATCAATCCAAAAGCTAATCACAATGGAGCTATACTTAATAAATGATCACTAAATGATCCTTCATGAATCCATTTATAGCAAGACATAACTCACTTTATAACAAGTATAAGAAGAGTCATCAATGATTGATATATCCCAACTCAAATCCAACAAGGATTTAATCACTTCAATATCAATCACTAACTCTTTCACTCGTAAGGCTAGCATAGTCCACGACTAAATCACTTTTCAAAGAAAGCCAAAGCTCAACCCTTACTAAATAATCTTGTCTAGAACACAGCTAACTCAAACTTGCCACTCAGCTTGTTTGAACATCAATACAGTTGCTAACAAGCAATTGTACAAATGTTAATAACATAAAGCTACAACCAAATCATCAACACTATCTTCATCAAGACTAATAAAATTTAATATCAATCATAAGGAGAGACATCTCATTTCACTTGAATCTCATATCAATATTGTCAATGACAAGATGTCACTTCAATGCCATCAACATTGGAATAAAGCTAGAAGAAAGCAAGAGTGAATCACCACTCAAAACTCTTTAGCAACTAAGCTAACTGAAGTCAAAGATACCTTAGTCAATATCTAAGATCAATCCTCCAACAATACTCAGTTACAGATAACACATCATCAAGGAGTGATCCACCACATCCAAGACTTTATGAAATCCAACATTACGGACTAAACGTAACTAAATAATATCGACAGAGGTAGAGTTGACATGCAAACATAGAAAACCCATGTAAGTTTAACAACACGATCCTCTGCAACACCATCCAATAAAACAAGCCCATCATTGTTAAATCATCATCGAGAGAAGTAAGTGTCAAATAGTCCTTGACAAAGTCTATAAGCAATCATTAGTTGCTAAGCAACTAACAATCACTCTTCAACTTGCCATCACAAGACCCAACACTAAACTCATATCATCAAGTCATATACTCATCCAACATGAACGTAATACCTTAAGTATGAGATAAAGGTTCATGGACAAGTATAAACTAAATGACCACTTGAATCCAACTCAACCGCAATAAGTTTATTAATGCATTTAGCCACTAGCTCTAAGCATGTCTTGAAGAGGTTAGCTATGCATGATCAACACTTAGTGGAAACCAAAATGAAGACCATGAGATGAACTCATTGTAAGCAACTAATTTTTCCATTCTACTTTAGTCACTTATCCACACCTCCGACCACTTGGAGGAGTCTCATTCACAACCTCCATAAGTCCCATTCAGGACTTGGGGCTTGCTAGCCCCGAGAATGGCATCCATGCCACTCAACCTTTGCACTTGGTCCAAGTGCTCCACGTGTCCGATCCCATGACCGACACCCAAAGGTACCACTGACATCTCGGCCCATTACGCTAAGGCCATGCCCATTCACCTTTGCTGCGCAAATGGTCCAATACCACTTGCATCACCATCCCGTCTCTCCAAGACTGGGCCATCTGTCTACGAGGGGTCATCCTAGATCCACTCCTTAGCATCCTTAGGATGCCCACAGACCTGGGGAATCGCCTTCCCCAAAGTCCCTTTGTCAGTTCCTATCAAGTCCCTTTCTGCCCCTGGCCGTGTTTGCCAACACTGCCACTGGATCGAGGCCCACAGGCCCGACCACTAAGTCCCACGGTCCTCTGGGACTTCCTCACCACACGACTGTGTCCTTGGTCACTACCCCAGAGGACTGCTCCTCTTCCTTTCCACAGTCTGGGCCTTTGGGACGACATTTCGGAACACCGTGGCCTTACGCGAGCCACCTGGGTACTCTCCCCACCTATCGCCTTTAGGTGCTCTAGCCATGGGCTTAGAGCGAGGTTCCGTTGAGCCACGCCTGGTATCCAAGTAGGTAGTGCCACCCACACTTGGATTGGGAGCATCGGCCAGTCGATCTCCCGGGGGAACTAGAGCCGGCTCTTGAACACTTCACCAAGCTACCCCGCTTGTTGGTCCGTATTCACTCTAGTCTTGGACTTCCCAGTGGTCAATTCATCACCCAACACTGGGTCTGGCCTTCTTGGGCCAAACTGACCTTTCCTGGCCAAACTGGCTCCACTGCAGTCCTCCCCCTACTATACTTTTGGGGCTCACCAAACCCCTCAGGGTCTGGGAGATGAACGCTTTGGGCTTTCACCCTCTCAGACTCGAACTCGGACTCAGACTCGGACTCGGACTCGGGCTCGGGCTCGGTCTCGGCCTCGGCCTCGGTCTCGTTCTCGGTCCCGATCTCGGTCTCGGTCTCGGTCTCGGTCCCGGTCTCGGTCTCGACTTCGGACTCCATCTCGGACTCCATCTCGGACTCCATCTCGGACTCCATCTCAGACTCCATCTCGGGTCCATCTCGGACTCCATCTCGGGTCCATCTCGGGTCCACCTCAGACTCCATCTCGGGTCCATCTCGGACTCCACTTCGGACTCCAACTCGAGTCCATCTCGGACTCCACTTCGGACTCCAACTCGGGTCCATCTCGGACTCCACTTTGGACTCCAACTCGGGTCCATCTCGGACTCCACTTCGGACTCCAACTCGGGTCCATCTCGGACTCCACTTCGGACTCCAACTCGGGTCCCTTTTTGGAACCTCGCTTTTTTCTCGCTTTGTGCTCGTTCCTTGAGCACTTCTTTGGGAGTTCCACTCCCGCTCTTGACTTTTCAAGTCGGAGCTTTTGGTCCAAACGTGTTACACTTGTTTGGCTCTCGCTTCAGCCACTACCACGTGGCACCCTTTCCGGCTCCACTTTGGGGCCTAGGGATTTTGTGTCTCACACTCATATCAGTACACAACCTCCTCATAGACAAAATTATAGTATGGATACCAACATCTCAACCTCAAATAATTAAGTTGAACATCACCATCCTTAACTAAGGCACAGAGCCACCAAGACCAAATCAAGATTAGTGAGAGCTTATTATTCTCATAGAGTTTAACAAAGTGTAAGGTGCAACTTACCACCAAGCATAATACTACAAAAGAAAGACGCAATGGTCACCTTTCTAGAAAAGTGCAATAGCATGGAAGCGTTGTTGAGGCTTGGAAGATTTTCGACAGGATTTCCTCTCCTAATACAGTTTGTTGGAACTGCATCATTCTGGGATATGTCAACAATGGAAAGAGCAAGTTGGCTCTGGAGATTTTCGATCGTATGGGAAATTCTGCTGCTCGGGATGCTAGGACTTATGTTGCTGTGCTCTCAGCTTGCACTTCTTTAGCAGCAGAAGCTTGAGGTGGTGACTGCAGCAGATGGTTTGACAAGGGAAAAATCATTCATGCACAGGCTTGTTTTGATTCTTTCGTTGGAAACACTTTGATCGATCTCTACGGACATTGCGGTGCGATGAAGCTGGCTCGGATGCGAGAACTCTAGTTGCAGCACTGACGGGCTGTGCTGCTTTGGCTGTTGAACAGAGAGGAAACTCCAGGAGATGGTTAGAAAAGGGAGAAGAAATCTATCGGCAAGCACTGGAAAAGAACTGCTCCGACAACTCCTTCGTGCAGAATGCGCTGATTGATCTTTATGCGAGGTGCGGCTGCATGGTAATGCGGTTTCATGGACGATTCTTCTGCAAGGTTACGTTGACAACGGCGAGAGTGCGCTCGCTCTGAGGCTTTTTGACGGTATGAGTTCGACAATCCCCAACGCTAGAACTTTCGTTGCTCCACTGACTGCTTGCACTTCGTTAGCAGCGAGGGCTGTGGGAAGCTGCAACTGGCTGAAAAGAGGAAAGTCGATTCATTCCCGGGTGAGACGTCACGGGCCTGCTGCATTTTGCCAAGCTTGGCATACATATCCACCAGCGTGTTCTGGACGAAAATGTTGTCGCAGCAGCTGCTTGTCACTCGACAAGATGAGCAGCTGCAGCGTGGTTTTCTGGACTGCTCTGATGCAAGGATACGTTGATAACGGGAAGAGCGAAGTCGCACTGAAACTGTTCGAAGGCATGGCCGAAGAAGCTGAAGCTCCTCCGGCTGCTAGAACTTTCGTCACTGCAATCACAGCCTGCACTGCTTTGGCAGCCGAGCAGAAATGCTTGAATCACTGGTTAGAGAAAGGCAAGAGGATTCATCTTCAAGCAGTGAGGAACAGATGCTGGGACGTTTACGTGGAGACTGTAGTGGTGAATCTCCTCGCCAAGTGTGGCAGTATGGCGGAAGCTCAAGAAGTTTTTGACAAGATGGTGAAGCGGAACGTTGTTTCATGGACGTGCTTGATACAGGGATATGTCGACAATGGGAAGAACAAACGAGCTCTGGAGGTGGTGTGTGAGATGGATCTGAACGGGGTGACAATGAACTCTGCGACATTTGTAGCTGCACTCACGGCCTGCGGAAGTTTGATGGCTGCTGGTGAAAGAAAAGCGGAGCAAGAACAATGGATTTCACTTTAACACGCACCTTGATTCATGTATGGCTGTATATATATACAACTTCAATCAAATCGGAAATCACCAGAGATCTGATCGCTATTCGGACTGTTTCTGATATAAATTGTCTTGCTTGTTGTGTTCATCATTATTCTTACACTCCCCCTTCAAGTTGAGGGCGCTTGACACTCCAAGTTGATTCCTCAGCTTGATGAATGTGAACTCTGAAAGTGGCTTGGTTAGAAGGTCTGCCAACTGATACTGTGAAGGAATGTATTCCAGATGAAGATCTCCGGCTGCTACACGTTCTTGAATGAAGTGATGCTGCACATCTATATGTTTTGTACGAGCATGAAACACAGGATTTTTTGACATGGCGATTGCACTTCTGCTGTCGCAATGTAGAATGGTCGCATCTGATTGTTGTTGATTGAGTTCTCCAAGTAATCGAAGAAGCCAGATGATCTCCCTTACTGCTGTATTGGCAGCTACGTACTCTGCTTCTACACTGGAAAGAGCAACCATCATTTGCTTCTTACTTCCCCATGAAACCGCAGCACCAGCAATTACACAGCAAATTCCAGAGGTTGAATGTCGTGTATTCAAGTTGCCAGCCCAATCTACATCGCAATAAGCTTGAAGAACAAGTTTGGACTGACCTGAGCATTTGTAAACCAATCCATGAGCAGCTTGTCCTTTCAAATACCTCAAAACTCTTTTTGCCATTTGCCAATGACAAAAACTTGGAAACTGCATGTATCGGCTGAGGAGACCAACGGCAAAGCAGATGTCGGGGCAAGTCATGTTGATGAGATAGAGTAGTCCTCCAACAAGCAATCGGTAGACCGAGGGCTAATCAAATAAATCATCCATCTTACTTCTGAACTTGATGCCAGTGATGATTGGTGTAGCCACAGATTTGCAACTTGTCATGTTGAACTGGTTGAGAAGCTTCTTCACATATTGGCGTTGTGTGAGGATGATTGTCCTGTCTGCTTCATCCCTGTCAACTTCCATCCTAACAGCTGCCACACAGCTCCTAAATCCTTCATCACAAACCTGTTCATGAGTTTGATCTTCACATCCTTCAAAACAGTGTCATTGTTGTTGACAATCAAATAGTCATCCACATAAACTGCCATCACAACAAAGTGATCACCCTGCTGAAGAAGATATAGATTTCCATCGCTGTTCAACCTCTGCATAATGAGACCCATAAGAAAAGAATTCAAATATTCATACCACTGATGGGAAGCCTGCTTAAGGCCATAAAGAGCCTTGCAAAGCTTGCAGACGAGTTCAGAGCGCTGTGATCCAAAAAGCTCAAAGCCTGGGGGTTGCTGCATAAATATCTCCTCCTTCAAGTTCCCATTAAGAAAGGCTGTTTCATGCTTGTCTACTTCACAATTGGTGAGAACATCTCATCAAAATCCACTCCAAGAATTTGTGAATATCCTTGAGCAACAAGTCTTGCCTTGTAACACTAAACTGATCATTTCTGTGAAGCTTGAACACCCAATGCGATCTGACAACTTCACATCCTTCAGGAGCTTCCACCAAGTCATAAGTCTGGTTCTCATCAAGAGAATTCAAATCATCTTGCATTGCTGAAATCCACTTATCTGCATCAGGACCTTGAATCCCCTGCTTAAAGTTGACTAGTTCAGAAGCTATTTCTATTGCTGCAAAAGACCACTGCTTGGGATGAGGTGCTTTGCTTGATCATCCAGATGATGTTCACCCATAGTTCTCCATGTTGAATGGTAGATCATGTGTGAGCTTGTCGACTTCTCCAGTTTGTGCACGATGAGCAGCATCGCCCTGTTCTTCAGGAAGAAAAGATCCAGAGACTGGTGTTGGATGATTGTCAGCTGAAGGAGATGAGGGATAGATGATTGTTAGATCATCGTCATCTTCATCAACGTCTTCAACACCATCCCAACTCCATTTCACATTTTGATCCGAGCTTCCTTCGCAATCTTTATAGTGTTCCTTCATCAAAACGAACGTCAGTGCTTACAAAAATTTGATGATTACCAGGCTGGTACAGGCAATATCCTTTTGAATTGGAGTCGTATCCAACAAGAAATGCCAGCTTGCTTCTGCTCTCCAACTTACCGAGATGCTCATCAACCCTTTTTGCAAAGCTTAAACAACCAAAACACCTGAGATGCACCACTGATTGTCTTTGACCAGTCCAAAGCTCTTTTGGGATCTTGTTGGGATTGCGAGAATGAGGGAGGAGGTTTTGAACGTGCACAGCTGATCCAACTGCTTCAGCCTAGAGGAATTTTGATAGTCCTGATTCTTGAGGGAAGCACCAAACTGTGTTCATGATTGTCTTGTTCTTGCGCTCAGAGACTCCATTCTGTTGAGGGGTATGAGAGCAAGAGCGTTGATGAAGAATTCCTCGTTCAACACAGAACTGCTGAAAGGACTTGTTGATGTATTCCCCTCCTGAATCAGTACATAAACAACCAACCCTTTGACCAGTTTTCACTTCGGCTTCTGCTACAAATTGCTTGAATTTGCTGAAGACTTCATCTTTGTGACAAAGGAAGAAGACGTCCATGTGCCTGGAGAAATCATCAGTAAACATCATAAAACACTTTGCACCATTCTGAGCAAACAGTCGCATGGGTCCATAAATATCTGAGTGAACGAGCTGCAAGGGACGAGTGCTTCTGATCACAGCAGGTTTGAAAGTACAATGGGTTTGCTTACCAAGAATGCAAGTGTGACATTTCACTGAACTTTGAAGAATGTGGTTGTTAAAGCCATCCACAAGCTCCTGCTTCTGCATACGCCTGATGAGAGGGGGATTGGCATGTGCAAGTCGAGCATGCTAGAGAGAACTATCTACAGTCATGCACATCTCAGGAGCGTTCAAATTTTTTCCAGAAGCTATCTCCTTCTCAAACATATCTAGGAAAATGTAGTAATGGACGACCATTTGCAAGACCTTGACATTGATGTTTGGAGAAATTCACATCCAAACCTTCATCCATAAACCTGGCTATAGAAACCAGATTCTTCACTATCTTTGGAACATACCACGCATTCTTCAAGAGTAGAGACTTTCTTCCCAGTGGAACTCGCACATCCCTAGTTGCGCGAACAGGTAAAATGCTTCCATCTCCCATACGAATGCACTTCACTTTCGCAGCACGCAACTGCATAAAGTTCAACCATCTTTGCATTAGGTGTCTCTCTGAACCTAGTTTTTCAGAAACGTTTGAAATTACTATCTCAGATGATGCTGCAAGTTCCTATATTTCCCCTTCGTGAGCATTTACTGCGAGCCCTATGTTCATGTGCTGCAGCCAAGCTGCAACTGGGCAATCCTTGGAGTAGTGTCCTGGCATCCCACAGGTCCAGCATTCCTGTTTGTTCTTGCCCACAAAATAATCTCAAACTGCTGCTTCTTTACCAGAATTCCTTGAATTGTGCTGCTGCTTCTGCGGATTTCCCCTAAACCTGCGACCTCTGCCATCCTCCTCTTCCGTGGCCTCCTCTGCCTTGATGATTTCCAGCCCACAGAGCTGAATCAATCCCTGACTGATCGCTTGATGCAAAAACATTTGATGTAGATTGTGAGATTAAAACATGAGAAGGCCTCTGATCAAAGTCCACAATCAAACCTCTCGCAGCCAGCTCTGAGCATAAAGTTTGCTCAGCTTGTTCAAAGTTGAGTGACATCATGTGAACGGTAGGGACAAAAGAACTAAAAGAAAAATCTTGTATGCCCTCGCAAAGCACCAAAACTTTCTTGTTTTCGTTGAATGCCACTAAACTGCCTTCAAGCTCCATCCACAGGTCTTGCATCTTGGCGAGGAACTCTTCAAAGTTCTCGCCTGGATGAAAATGGGTCTCACGAATGCAAGTCTCGACCATGCTAATCTTGGAGAGGGAAAGAACAGCATACTTGTTGTGAAAATGAGCCCAAATCTCACAAGCACTCTTATGACGCAAACGCATCATAAGGGCATCTGCAAGCTTAGAAAGAATCAATTCTTTTGCTCGAGATTCCTTCTTCTCCAGCACAGCCTGTTCCCAGGATCAAGCTGTTGTCGAGCTGCTGCAATAGAGGCACGAATTGCCTCTTCATCCACGACTTCTCCTTCCACCGAAGTTGAAGCTCCCAACGCAGCAGGGGTTCGTCGCATATGGGCATCTGCAGTGATTGTCGATGGTGAAACGATTTCCCAGAGTTCTTCCATCTGCAGCACACGCATCACTTTCTCGGACCAGGTGTTGAACCCTCTCCTCCCATCAAAGGCAGTGACTCCCTGTAGCAAGATCAATCCAACTTTGCTGCAGCTCATGATGTGAGACACAAAGAAAGGAGAAGAAAGAATTCAGAAACTGATCTCTAATACCATGAAAGAAAAGCAGAGCAAGAACAACAGATTTCACTTCAACAGCTGGAACTGGTAAGTTCTTCCACAGGGAGATTCAGAGCTGCGGGCTGGAAGAGGATGTTCCGGTGGCAACTTGCTTGGTGGATTTTTACGGGAGATGTGGAAGCATGGAAGCTGCGAAGATGGTTTTCAACTCGATATCTGCGAGGGATTTGTGCAGCTGGAATGCGCTTCTGAGTGGCTACAGCCAAATGGGGGATTGGAAGCAGAGTTTGGAGATGTTTGAGCGTATGAAGGAGAAGTCAGGAGTCGTCCCCAACGAGATCACGCTCACTCATCTTCTTTCGGCTTGCAATCATGGGGCTGACTTGCAAAGGCAAGGATTTCCTGGAGGAGATGCAGAACAAATACGGAGTGATTCCCAACATCATCCACTACAACTGCATTGTGGATCTTCTGGGGCGGGCGAATTTCCTGAGCGAGGCGCTGAGATTGGTGAATTAGATGCCGATCGAGCCTGACTTGGACTGCGATTCTTGGGGCGTGTCACAACTTCACAAGTGGAAGAATGTGGAGGTGGGGAAGATCGCGTAAGAGAGATTGGTGGAGCTGGATGAGAAGGATCCGACGGCTTACGTGCTACATCTTTGGAAGCGTGAGAAT